GTGTGTATATGTTGCATGTATTTGACAGATGTTTCTAATACAAATTACATTGATGGCTGCATCCATATTTTGAGGATTGATGATGATTTGAGTAGTTCACTCTGCAGTGACAAAATTAATAAATAAATAAATAAAAATCTTCTATTACACTGGCACTGGCAGCAGGTGTTACAGCCTGACATCTGCACAGTAATTTCAGGTACACATTATACATATTTGGCAACTTAGTTAAGAAAAGACAATTGAAGTTTATGAATGGCACTCTAGTATGCATCGCTCATGTTTCAGGAAGGAGTGAAAAGAAATGGAAGGACAGATCAAATAGTGCAGCCCACTTACCATTCAAGCTTTTATCTTAATATTTATTCAACCTGTCTCTGGGTGAAATAATTTGGAACTAAAAAAAAAAATGATTTACATTCAATCACATACAATAATTGGAACGCACCCTATAGACTTTTTGGATTTTCTGTACTAAACAATGAGTTGTTTTAAAATGTCAACACACTTGCATAATCTTAAAGGATCACTTGGTTTATTACCAAACACCCACATATTTAACTTAATTGTAAGTTTTTTTAAACCTAGACATAAGCTGTGAAATGTATAGATCTTGTCTGTTTTGACACTCTCATTGTTTTGTATTATTTATGGTCCACCCTGTGTTCTGGTCACGTGCATGCACAATTCTGCACAATTTTAAGTATAGAATCCAAATCCTAATATAGTAAGTGCAAAAAACATTAATTGTCAAGGCAACTAAACATACTGACTTTGCACACAGCTTTAAACGTTTAGAATTAGATTGATTTTTATGTTCCTAACTTAATTTGTAGGGGGAAAAAAATAACATCTTATACTTCAAGTTGATGTTATTACCATATTTTCCACATTTAAATTAGGAAATGAAGTAACATTAGAGCATATTTTTAATGTATGTGGTCTTGGGCAACCCTGAGATGAACATTAAAGCTTACGTCTTTGCTTTCTCTACCGGAGCCAATAAAAATATTGTTAAAAGAGACTTTGAAATAATACCGAGATTAAATTATCCAACCTGTGTAATGTTATCATTCATTAAAAAAACTATAAATATACCATAAGTGCCCAGCATATTATACTACTGCAGCTCTTCAAGAGATTATAGAAAGTTTCACAGAAATTTTATTATGGATAATGCAGATTTTATGTCATGTGTGTAGGATCATTGTACTGCACAGCTGAATGTGATTTCATTAATATTTAAACTATACCAAATCATCCACAAATACTATTAACGTATAACCATATTAAATGTTGTATATTACTTTTTAGGGCCGAGAACATCTGTTTGATTAGAGGTCCTGCAATCTGTTCTGAAACTTATAGGGTTATTGTAAATACCAAACCTTTACATCTAACACTGCTGTTTCTGAGAGGAACATTCCAAGAAACCTTGAGTTAATACTTTTGATCATGGAGTGGGATTCTATATTTTTAAATTTTTCCAATATTAAGAAAAAGCTTTGGGCACATTTGAGAGCACTTTTAACAGTACTCTGTATAGCATAAAGTCAGGCCCGGGCTGCCCATCGGGCAAACCATGCAAATGCCCAGTGGGCCACAATGGCCATAACTGACCAGGGAAATCAAAAGATCTCTCTGACCGGCCCATGCAGGGCTGACACTCAATGAGCGTGGCCCAAATAAGTAACAAAGTCCCTTTATGGGCTGATGGGAAGATCAGAGAACTCACTCACTGGCCCATTACAGGGACATGCAGAGCACTGCAGGGATGATCAGATGATTTTAGCTCAGATTGACAGACAAGTGGTATATTCTCGCAAGCTCTGGTCACTGAGAGTGCTGCCTCTCACATAGTACACCGCATACTCCTTTACACACATACTACATCGCAAACAATAGCCTCTACAAACACTCAATCCCACAATCAGTCTCCAACCACATACAGCACCACATAGAACCTATGTGATGCTGTATGAGAACCTCTACACATGCACAATAACCTTTACTGACCATGCCCCATTCTTGTCCTCTGGTATCCCTCTTATAGGGATACCAGAGACACGTCACCAGCAAACACAGAGTTGTGCCTTGTAAAATATACACAAGGCATTGCTCCCAGAACCCTTCAGCAGGGCTCTGCACATGAGTTGTCCTGGAGGGACACCTCACTTTGAGGTGGCTTGCATGTCATTGTTAATGACTTGACATGACACCTCTTTGTCACCGTCCCCATGCTACTGCTCTGCTCTTCCTTTAAATGTCCAGCTGAACTATTTTCCCAATAAGTTGTAGTTTTTACAAGTTATTGGCATTTGGGGAATAGGTATTCCCAAAATATCTGCAGAATTGTTACAAATACCCATGAGAAAACTAATCGTAAAATAAAAGCTGTGTGGCATGCCAGGAGTGCCTTGGTTTCTTCAGTTTTTCAATTACTTGAACATCTTTGGCACACAATTAGGACAATGAGACATCCTATAAAATGTCTTCATTATTTTTATAACCTTACTACATAAATATTTTGAATGTTCTCAGGGTTAGTTCATTTGAAAAAGGTTTTCTAGGATAATATGAATCTCTGTAGTTGGCTTTTTGTCATGGCCCACAGGAGGCAAAGGAAACACTCTCCCAATCTTTGGTTAAAAAAGATATTTATCAGTGTGTCGATGCCCAAATTCCTTGTATGTGTGCCTAGCCAGGTGGTAATATTAATGCAAATTTTCTCAATACAGAGGTTAACTGAGGTCACAAAAAACCACTAGAACCAGTCCTGTTATTTTTGGCACAGTTGTGAATGCTTCTATTCCGTCTCATGCAACCTCTCTAAATATCTTGTATCGCAAGGAGATAAATATGCAGGAACTGGGTCAAAAAAAAGCCGCTAGCACTAGTCTTATTATTTTTGGCAATGTTGTGAATGCTTCCACGCAGTCTTGTGCGATCTCTCTAAATATCTTGTATCTCAAGGAGATAAGTATGCAGTAACAGCTTTCTCAACATCTGTTCTGCTAAAAGCAGATGAAAAAGGTGTTAATAAAGTTTGTATCAGAGACAACTTGAATACAGCATGTCAGCTTATCACAATAACATCAGAAGAAACTGCCTACTCCAACTCTCTGTACTTTATTTAAACTGTATACATGGAAACATATTTAACAGGTGCCTTCAGCAGTTATAGTAGAAGTATACAACTTTTTTCTTATGAAACTTCTCAACATATCCAGTATAATAATAATGTAAACACATACCTCTCTTATAATAATCATAGTACTAATAATAGTTATTTATGTCATGGTATTTTAGCCTTATGTCAACTGAAATACTGACCAAATGTAGGTGTGGGATGTTTTTTATGGATTGTTAGTGTAAATCACTGTAGAAAAAAAGCTGCATAAAACAGGGTTTTTGAACTGAACATTGCAATAGATTTCACTTTATACTTACATGATACAATATAGTGTGGTCTTTGTCAGGCTAGAATCCAGATTTAATCACATTTTGAGTGCTGTATTTCAGCAAATAACCTGAAATATGAGTTCTCTTTAGAAAATAAAGGTAGGCAGCTACTAACGTGGTCTGTGCTAATTCAGAGAGTCTGATATGGCATATGATCATACAGAGAGCAAATAAGTCAACTTTCACCATTCATTTCCTGTGCTTATTGTTCTTGGCAGCTGGTTGCAATGATTTCCATTATGCAAACATGACATCTGCCCAAAAACCTATGTGTAAGGGAATTTAGTAGAACTTAGTATATTGTCCCTTCCTTTTTTCTATGCTTCAAGGGCTTCTTTCCTGTTTAAAAAGAAACTAATAACCAACGGCTAACTGGACTTTATGTTTTTATTTTAGGGAGAACTTCGGTACAGCCATGCGTGTGCAATTTCAGACGGACACAGGTATTGAAGAGATATTTGTTAAACATTCTTTGATGTTAATGATTCTAAAGTTTTTTTTCTCTTCATGGCAAAAGATGAACTGAAAGTGCACAAACCTAGCCAGGGCACAAGTGAACTAAAAGATATGATAGCAACGATAAGTTAACATTAGTAATTTCAAATAGGATTTTCTTTCTTAATTATGTAATTTATACGTTTTACACTTTTATACTCCATGACATTCTTTTACTTGTATTTTTTATTTTGATCCTGCCCTCCCTTCTTTAACATAAGTATTTTCTTTACAACTGTGTGTGTGCTTAGCTTCTTGTTTCTTTATTGGTTTTGTACAGTGATGTTTGGTTTTAGTCTGTTTTTTTTTATATTCTTAAAGAGAAATTGTCTTTTCATACCACTAAACATTAAAGGCACACTATAGGCACCCAGACCACTTCATCTCATTGAAGTGGTCTAGGTACAGGGTCCCTTTCCCACTTAGCACTGCAATGTAAATCATTACAATTTTTTAGAAACTACAATAATTACCATGCAGGACTGCTTCTAGTGGCTGTCAATCAGGCAGCCACATGAAGCACTTCCTGGCTGCTTACAGACTCTAGGTCCTCTAAATGATACTGGAGATGTCCTCATGCTCTGCATCAGTGAAATCCCCATAGGAAATCATTGAAGAATGAGAGGGCCTATTGCGGTCGAGGAGCTAGCCACACATGCGCACTAGAAACTCACTCTTCCCCGTCGGATAAAGTTGTACAATCATAAACAGAAACAAGTGAAGATGATTTTCTTTGTGGTATGGGGAAATGCATTTTTTGCCTGTGTCTCCTACTTTCCCTGTAACTCAAACAAAGCTACAACCCAGCGCTGAGGGACTTCAAGTGACTAAAGGGATTTCTAACCTTTTACATTCTGTGGGGGAGGGTGCAAGGGAGAGGGGGACAATAGAGAAATACAGATTTGATTTCCTAACACATTCCCTTTAAAGGGACGCTATAGTCACCAAAACAACTTTAGCTTAATGAAGCAGTTTTGGTGTATAGATCCTGGCCCGACAGTCTCACTGCTCAATTCTCTGCGATTTAGGAGTTAAATCACTTTGCTTATACATCTCTAGTCACACCTCCCTTCATGTGACTACAAAGCCTTCCTAAACACTTCCTGTAAAGAATTATCTTATGTTAACACGCCCTTTATTGCAAATTCTGTTTAATTTAGAATGTCTTATCTCCTGCTCTGTTAATAGCTTGCTTGACCCTGCAGATATAGTGATCAATTGAATCAATGGATCTCTATCGGTAGTGTTCACCACCTCCATGTAGAGCGTGGAGACACTCAACGTAAGTGCTGCACACTGCGCAGTACTGGAGTAGGAGGCAACCCTAGTGACCATATGAGTGACTGCCACTAGAGGTGTTTCTTGGCAGCAATGTAAACACTTTCTCTGAAAAGGTGTTTACAGTACTCAGCCTTCAAGCACAGGCTGTAGACACCAGAAACACTACATTAAACTGTAGTGGTTCTTGTGACAATATTATCAATTTAATAAGACGTCTTTCTCTCACACTTCAATCAACTCTTTGGCAAAAAAAATTTCACTTGTTTCTCTTAACCTCCCTTTTGAATTTCTTGCCCCCTTTTGTGCTTCTTATCCCCTCTTTTGATTCTTACCTGCTTTAGTGTACTTTATCTACAATGTTTCCCTTTTGTGTATCTTACACCCTTCTTGTTTATCTTTAAACCACTCTTTGGCTATCTTTTACTTAATCCCATTGTTTTTCCCATTCTCCAGCTCCTCTGTATGTCTCTTTCCCCCAAGCCCCTTTCATGTGTCTCTTAACCCCAGTCCCTTTGTCTATTTATCCCCTTCCCCAGACACTCTGTGTCTCTCTTTCCCCACAGCCTCTCGGTGTGTCTCATTCTACCCTTCCCCAGCCACTCTGTGTCTTTTGTTTGGCTTCCCTGCCCCTCTGTGTGTCTTTCACCCCCAAGCACCTTTGTGTGTCTCCCCCCACACCTTTATGTGTCTCATTCTTGCCCCAGCCCCTCCTCATTTCTCATTTCCCCCCGCCCTTCCATGTGTCACATTAGCCTACAGCTGTCTCATTTTCCCCAAGCACCACCATGTGTCTCATTCCCCCCCAACACCTCCATGTATCTCATTTCCCCTACAGCCCCTCCATATGTTCCATTTCCCTTACAGCCCCCCCATGTGTCCCATCCCCCTCAGCCTCCCATGTGTTCCATTTCCTACCAAGCCCCTCCATGTGTCTCATTTACCCCACAGACCTTCCATGTCCCTCCATGTGCCCATTCCCTCAGGACCTCCATGTGTATCACTCCCCCCTCCCCTTTCTGTACCTCCACGTAGCATACCGAGCCACAGACCGGGGTAGAAGAGCTTCTGTTCCCCTACCTGGTCTGACAGTAAGCAGTTTGGCACTCTCTGTACAATCCTGTCAGACTTGGTAGGGGAAGAGAATCTCCTCTAACCAGGTCCGCTTCTTGGCCATGCTACATGCAGTGACCGACAGGAGGGGAGTGCTTCCCCTCCTGCTGGTTACCCTGCAATTGCGCCGTGTGCACCCTGGCCCATGCTAAGCAGCTGCATATCGGCCGGACCACTGGGAAATTACCTGGTATGTCCAGTCTGGCCCTGTTAAGAATGTAATTAGCTGCATGACAATGTTATACATGGTTCACCAAACCACTTGTCTAAAACCTGGATGACTGTTTGACATTTAAGTTAAGCCAGTTAGGTGTGAAAGCGCATACTGAAATCCATATAAAACCATAACCATGTTTAGTTTTTTTTTGTTCACACTTAGACTCCATCTATGTACCATATTTTCTGAATCAGTTATTGCCTTTATATTAAAGTACCGGTATCTACCATAATGCAGTATTTAATGCCATCAGATTATGTTAATTTCTAAATGGATGTAATAGGCTATAAGTAGATTAAAGATGTAATTCCAAATGCAAAGGTATGTAACACACACTACACATATTTATGCCAGTAGTCTACAGTTCAGTAGGTGTGCAGTATAAATTAGTATCCAGCACTTGAGAATTGAGGTGTGTTAGAGTAATGTATTTCAGTAATACATTAACATTTGAAATTAATTTACATATTGTGTTAAACCTGGAATCTCTTTGTTTGTCTGAAATGAAATCTGATGGAATAGCAGCAAAGTATGAAAATATTTGGTGTTGTGGCAAAAAAAATAACTCAAATTATACACAAATTGCTGGTGTTTTTTTCCTTTGTGTTTTCTTTTATGATTATTACAAATTATGATTTATGCATGCTTACCTGTTACATTTCCAGCAACCTCAAATTACCTGCTGTACACCAGCCTTATGCTGTTTATCAGACACAGCATTGCTATATTTATATCTCGCTGTAGCCCTGTCCTGAATACAGGTTTGAAGAAGCTACATGGTATGCAGGAGATCTATCAAATCAAGAAAAAAATAAAATAAAATTCACGTATGCAATTTTACATAATCTGAGTCTTTTACTGAGTAAACAAACCACATTTATTTGTATGTGTTCATATTGATGTGTCAATAAAAAAAAATAATTAAGTGAGATTAGTCTTAGACTTTTTATGTACCTTCTAATTAGGTGTAATTTAGTTTAAAAAAGGTATCTTGGCCTCTGCCAAACATTAATATGGAAAGTACAGACAATACAAGAATGCTTTTTTTGCTGAAATCTTCACCATGTGTACATTCCATGGTGCATAATGCTTTTCTGTAAGCAACCGAATTGTAGTCATTACTCATTTAACCATAACTTTTAAACTACAATCTTCTTTTTTTCATTATATAATAATAAATTAGATATAGCTTTTTTTATGATAGGTTGGGATAATGTTTGAACCAGAATATTAACGTAACCTGACCTCTACTTTTATCTTTTTTTTTCTAGATTATTTGTGCATTAGCATGTTGATGACAACTACACTTTAGTGACTTTGCAGAACCTGTGTCAATTTGCACCAAAAGACCCTTTCAAGGCCATATGAAGTGCTTGGAATAATATCAACAATGTTGGTCATGTATAGAACTCCTGTATAATACTCATATCCTACTAAGTGGAAAAGCTGATACTGATATATAAACTTGCTAACTTGGAAGGGCTTCCAAGAACATGGAAACAATGCCAATTTGAGAAGGAACCCGTCACAATCAATGTGTCTGTACAGCATTAAAGTAAGCTAGCACTCAAGAACTATCAAAAATGGACTCTGAAGATACAAATCTAGGGCAAGAAGCTACCTCAAGGTCTGGTGAGTCTGAAAAAGTACCAAATAGATGGAGACAGGAAAATCCAGCAGTGGCTGCAATGAGCAATTATGGCAGTCAAGAGGGAGAGAGGCAGCAGCCAGTCAACCCTGAGAGCATCAGAAACCCCACATCAGCACAGCATTTTGGTTCTTTGAAAGCAGTTTCACAGAGTGAAAGTGTGCAGCATATCCCAGATAAGCAATACGCACAGAAGCGCCATGGTTCCTATGGCCAGCGGCATTCCCTTTCTTTTCCTCAACATAATGTCCACCAACAGAGGTTAGTGCACAGCACAAAACCACACCAGAGCCTGGAAGGACATGCCTACCCATTTCATAGTCACTTATCTGTTGCCTCTGAGGACTTGTTTTTCAGAATGCATGGACCTAGTCAAGCATTCCCCAGAAAGAAAATTACAGGACTTACATCTTATAGCCAATATTCCCAAAAGTCTCTTGAACAATCAGAAGATACTCATAAAAAAGAGCAGAAGCCCAAAAAACCTGGCAAATATATATGTCCGTATTGTACACGGGCTTGTGCCAAACCTAGTGTACTGAAGAAACACATCAGGTCTCACACAGGGGAACGTCCATACCCATGTGTCCCCTGTGGTTTCTCTTTTAAAACAAAAAGCAATTTATACAAGCACAGAAAGTCTCATGCCCATGCTATCAAAGCTGGGCTAGTTCCTTTCACAGATGCAGCTGTTTCAAAATTAGATTTAGATGCGTCTTGCATCGATGTGGAAACAGAAATACATTCTGATGGAGAACAGAGCACTGACACAGATGAAGAGACATTGTTGCTGGTTGAAGACTCTGAAAAACTGAGCCAATCTCCACAAATTCCTCTGGACATAAGTGTTCGAAGTGAAGAGTTTTTAGATCCAGGTTTCCATGTGTCTTCAGATGAGTCCTTAATTGGTCCAATGAAAGTGCCAATACTTATAATCCCCAAAAGTGGCATTCAATTATCAAGTGAAAGTGCCCAATTTATGGCATCTGAGATAATGCTCAATCAATCACTGAGTGGTAAAACCGATGATTCCCACACAGTTAGACAAAAACTTGCATTAAGGCTGACTGAAAAGAAAGTGCAAGATCCAGACAAAACATTAAATCTACTGAGCCCCCACAGTAAAGGGAGCACAGATTCGGGTTACTTTTCTCGCTCTGAAAGTGCTGAACAGCAAGTCAGCCCCCCAAATACCAATGCAACATCATATGAGGAAATTATATTTGGCAAATATGGCAGACTGAGTCCAAGATCCTCTGTACCAAGCCAGGATGCTAACTACCCAATTGTAAACACTGTTATTATGGAGGAACATATGTCACATCTTATTACAAAGAGGGAAGGCATCCTAGACTATGACAAAATTAGAGGTGTGAAATACAGATTGCCTGGAATCCATGGTCCTGAAATACATAAATCTCATCTTATGACAGAACCTGTTGAAATTGAAGCTAAGCTTTATCAAGAAATTCAGCATGGCCAGACGGCAGTGCTTTTAGCAACACCTGGGGACAGCTCACCACTTATAAGAAGCAACTCCATGCCAACATCCTCTGGAACTAATTTAAGCATTCCCCCTTCGATAAGAGGAAGTCATTCATTTGATGAGTGTATGACTGGCTCAGATGATGTATTTTATCCAGGGACAGGGGGCATCCCACATCCACGCCCTTTAAGACGGCAAGAAGCTTTTGAACTGCCTTCAGTCATGCAGGGTCATTCTGATTTTGATACTTATGGGAGGGCATCCAAGAATGCAGCTGCTGCTTACAACAGGAAAGGCATGCATGAAAAGTCTTTATCTAAAGAAAAGAAAATGGAAAGGTTAATGTATGAATGTAATGTCTCAGGTGTGCACCATAAAAGATGGGAGGAATTTGAAAGTCACAAACAAGGATACAGAGATATGCAGCAAATTGGTGGAATCAAACAGGTTGGAGATTACTTTACTGATGTTACAGGACCTATAGTCTCTCGTTTTGGAACAGTCGCTGAAAACCGAAAGCGCAGAAAGGAAAAAAGTGTTGGAGATGAGGAGGATAGTCCAATGCCTTGCAGTGGAATTGGTAGTCCACTCATATCAGATTATGATACAAAAAATGATGTTTCAAGGAGCAGGTTTGTTGATTCAGGGCAAGAATACCCATATGGAACGCAAGTGGAACGTTTTGATATGTGTAGATCACATGTACAGCCTGGTAGTCCTGTTTCTATATTAGATGAATCCTCTTCTGGTACTGATCCAGAAAAAATGACAGAAATAATCAGTAGAAAACCCCCTGGTAATGTCATCTCTGTAATTCAGCACACTAATTCTCTGAGCAGACCAAACTCTTTTGAAAGGTCTGAGTCTACGGAACTTCTAACGTGCAATCAAGATAAGGCTTGTTCACCTTCTGAGGCTTCTGATAGTGGGAATACAATGTCTTCAATGAGTCCAGACTGGACACAGCAAACTGAAAATCCTGAAGTTACAGGCCGGCCATCTCCATCTCAGCTCTCACAACAGTCAGTATATCACATGCCTCCTAGATTGGTCCGCCAGCATAATATCACAGTACCTGAGATTCGTGTGACAGAGGAGCCAGACAAGCCAGAGAAGGAAGTAGAAATTCCAGTTAAAGAACCTGAAAAGACAACTGAAGAATTTCAGTGGCCTCAGAGAAGTGAAACCCTTTCTCAACTCCCTGCTGAGAAACTGCCACCAAAAAAGAAGCGTCTACGTCTGGCAGACATGGATAACTCATCTGGTGAATCAAGCTTTGAGTCGACAGGCACAAGTCTCTCCCGAAGCCCAAGTCAGGAGAGTAACTTATCTCATAGTTCAAGTTTGTCAATGTCATTTGAGAGGGAAGAACTCATGAAATCTGCAACTCCTACGAAACAAGATGAAATAGGAAGGCATGCAGAATTTTTAACAGTTCCTCCTGGTTCCTATTCTCTCTCTGTGCCAGGCCACCATCAAAAAGAAATGAGGCGCTCCTCTTCAGAACAAATACCATGCCCTATACTAACTGAAATCCCTGAGATTCGTAGTAAATCTTTTGACTACGGTAACCTTGCCCATGCTTCAGGGGCTGGGGCAACCACTACAACTTTATCCCCAGCCCGTGAGAGGAAAAAATGTTTTCTTGTACGACAAGCTTCTTTTAGTGGTTTTCCTGAAAATGCACAGACAGAACAAGAACTTGGTAATCAAGAATCAGCAGATCAGCAGCACACTTCTCGCAAGTCTCCACAGACAGGTTGGCATCATTCACCTTCAACGTCATTATCAGGCTCGACAGGACATTCTACTGAAGATTCTGGAAACGTACTTGTTGGAATTTCTGGACAACCTATGAGTACCTCACCCCACTTTTCACAGCAGCCCATTAGTAGCCATGATGCATTAAGACATTCTTTTGCCCCTCAATCTTCATATATCCCCAAAAGACATACATCTAAACAGCAACATGCATTTTCACATCCTGAGAAGATTTTGTACCCTCCCGTTCACAATGCATTTCAATTACCTTATACCTCTGTGTGTATGTCTCACATACCATCCCACCACCCACTTTTGTGGCCCACTTGTATAGATCCTTTACAGAGACATTTCCAACAAAATTTGCATCAGATAAAATCATATTTCAAACCACCTATCCAATCAGAGTCACACCCTTCATTTTATTTTGAATCTACTCAGGAGCATACTGGTTGTAAGCCAATAAATTACATCCATGGGATGGAAACAATCTACCAGCCATATTTAGAACCATCCACACAAAAATCAAAAGCTATGCTTGGAAAACTACAGAGAGACCACAGTGGAGGCTCAAGTGATTCCACGTCTGATCAGCACCTTCAGATAGTTTCTGCTTCCCCTGATATTGGTTCTATTCAGCCTATTCCAGGAGCTATTGTCCCTGTCAGAATTCAGACTAATGTGCCATCGTATGGAAGTGTAATGTATACTAGCATTTCACAAATTGCTGTAACACATGCACAAACTAAAAACTCAACACTTGTAATATGCAGAGTGGATGGGAGTACATCACAGAGGATACTGGCAACAACAGCATCTATGAAAGATTTGGGATTCAACATAGCCAAGATGTTAGCACCCTGCAAAGACATAGAACAATATCCCCTGTGGAAAGTGCCACAGACATTACCACTTGGTTTGGAATCTGAAATTCCTCTGTGTTTAACTTCCAACTCTGAGAGTGCTTCCACTTTTGGAGGTGGAAAACGCATGCTTTCTCCAGCGAGCAGTTTGGAACTTTTCATTGAAACCAAACAGCAAAAGCGAGTCAAAGAGGAAAAGATGTATGGGCAGATTGTTAAGGAACTGAGTGCTGTTGAACTTACAAATTCTGACATTAAAAAGAACCTGCCACGGACATCCAAACCTCAGTTGGTTAGGCAAGGTCATACTACTGAGCAAAAGGACAGTCTCTCTTCAGCAACAGAATCACCGCCACCTGCAGCATCAGTTTCTACTGTTGTAGACAAAGAATTACCTGAATGTAAGAACAGTGATAGCCCAGAAGGTCGAATGTCACCTGATGAGTTCTACAATGAGGAGACATCATCAGATATGAGTTTAAGCCCTGAGAGGACACCAAGTGAATTTATTGAGGATGAGCCATTGAAAAGTCAGAAGCCATCTGCTGGTATATTTGTTCAAATGTCTGATAGTTCCAGTGGAATAGGGGGATCTTCAAGGAGTCTTCTAAAAGATGGGGCAGAATTTCAACAGATTCTTCAATTTCCTAGCCTACGTACTACAACAACAGTTAGCTGGTGCTTTCTAAATTATGCAAAACCAAGCCACACAGAGCAAGCATCCCTCAAGTCATCTGTTTATGCTTCATGGTGTATCAGCTCATGCAATCCTAATCCTTCTGGACTTAATACAAGAACTTCTTTAGCACTTCTAAGATCGAAGCAGAAGAATACAGTGGAAATATATACAATGGCAGCAATGCATAGATCTGGAGCTGGCAAGTTAACATCATCAAGTGTATGGAAGCTGCAGTTTGCACAGGTAATATATAGAAAATATGTACTAATGATAATTATTCAGTAACTGCAAATTCTAGCTTTTCTTTCTCAGGGATTATAACCTTGGGTGATATTACTCTTGAAATAATCCTTAAACCTGGATGATGTCACTCTTGAGATACTCATTCACTCAAAAAGAAAGCAACCAACTTGTAGTCTATCACTGATTTATATGGATAATACACTACTGCACTGTTTTCATTAATCAGATTTGAGGATCATTTCCTTGTCCACTTTGTAAAATCACTAATCTCTGTAAAACAACTAGATTAGGGTTCTATACATACATAAAGGAAAATCAATACCAAAATACATTCCTGTGAGGAAAATCTGCCAATGCATTTTATGAGATAGCTCTGTGCTTAGTGTTCTAGCTGTAGTATGCTAATCACCTGTTTTAATGTGCAGGTTCGATTCAATAGTTAAAGATTATAAAGTGAACGAGTACCACACATATTCCAATACGTACTAAATGTACTCTTTTCATATTTAGATATCATTGTAAGATATACAGCTCCTGATAACAAAGAAAAATCCTGGGTGTCAGAGCTGGAGCCAGTCACCATGGGCTTTGCTAGATTACAGAAACACCTGTGGCTAGAGCCCAAAGAAAAATGTAATAACCCCTACACTAACAGAGAGTTAAAGATAGGTCACCATATACCCCCAACTTTCTAAGCTATATCCCGTTTCTCAGTGAAAGCATAGCCAGATACAAGCACACGTAGCAAAGCCAGCATTATCAATGCCTAGGTAACTAATGTATACAAAGTTATGTTCTCCAGCACCTCCACTGACACCCTAAGCAGCCTGGCAAAGCACTATACTACTGAACTTTCTGTAATAGGTGGCTGCTTTGAGAAGCAGCAGTCTGACGTAAAATTGAAGATTATGCTAGCGCTAGTGTACTTATAATCTTAATTTTAGTAATGACAGGAGGCGAGTATTTTGCATATAACTCTCTTTACTAACTCCACATAGCAGTAAAGAAAAGTGAAAACATTAACCAATCAAAAATGCAGTAGGAGGTATAGTATTCACAGTGATGAGGCTCCTCCCCCTCTTTCGAAAGCGACATCAGAGACAAATATTGAAAACGGATAAAGTCTTGAAACATAAAGTCTTGAAACATGCACCAACGGGTGACTTTCCAAATACGAAGTCCTAGTGGTTGAAGGACGGCCCGAACGTGTCCATCCTGAGCATAAGCTGTAATGTCCCGAAGTTATGCTGAAAAAGAACGTGGAGAAGGTTAGGTACCGATCTGGCAACTGTTTGCGGTAATGTAATAAACCCAACACAATTTCCACCGACTGATGTAAAACTAGATGAAAACTAGTATAAATATGACAGTAAACAATAACAAAGATTTAACTAAACAAGGTACAAGCCTGAGTCATACAAGATGAGTAGGAAGATAGAAGAAGTAAGGAAATACACATAGTAAGTATACTTACTTGGATCCGTATCCCCCAAGGGTGCGGAGGGTGGGAAAATACTCGCCTCCTGTCATTACTAAAATTAAGATTATAAGTACACTAGCGCTAGCATAATCTTCAATTTTACCACATGACAGGAGGCTTCATATTTTGCATTTTTAACGCTGAAGCAGGAGAGACGTGGCTGCCCCCGAGTTCGGTCGGAAGTAGAAGGTCCGAAAGGTCGATTCTCGTGACCAATCTGCAGCTCGTAGGATGTCTGCCAGGGATGCGCCTGCGGTGAAAGCCGAAGAAGCTGCCGCCCCGCGGACGGAGTGGGCTCCGAAGGTTTCCTCTACGCCCGCCAGGGACAGAATCCATCTTACCCATCTGGCCAGGGTGGTGGTAGAGACGGGAACGTGTGGTCTAACGTAGGACACCAAGAGTTGGCCCGTAGGGGAGACCCGCAAACGGGATGTGACCTCTACGTACCGATGTAGGGTAGATACCACGCAGAGAAGCGGTTCTGTAGGAAAAAAGGGGTAGAAGACCGATGTGGAGTCGGATTTCGTACGGCGTGAAACTTGGAAGGTAACTCCCTCCGGGGAGACCGAAAAGGCATCGATGTCGAAAGCTCGTACGTCCGAAACTCTGCGGAACGAGACCAAACAAAGTAGGAGCGTCAGTTTGGCTGATAGTTGTCGGAGCGAGAGTCTGTCGTTGTCCGGCCAGTCCCTCAGGAACTGTAGGACGTTTTCGACGTCCCATAGTCGGGAATATTTAGGTTTCGGAGGCCTCTGAAGTCTGATGCCCCTGAGGAGGCGGCATATCAACGGGTCTTTCCCGACGGGGATCCCCTGGGCCGGAACGTGGGCCGCTGAAATTGCGGAGCGCACGACGTTGAGGGATCGATAAGATCGGCCCTTGGAGAAGAGATGAGAGAGAAAATTCATGATGGCTGTTATAGGTGCAGTAAAGGGATCGAAATTCCGCTCACTGCACCAAGTAGACCAGGAGCTCCATGCCGATAAGTAACATCGTCTGGTTCCTGGTGCCCATGAGTCCCATAGGAGATCTCGAGATGTTTGCGATAACTCTTCGGTTTGCCAGGCTCCCCTGAAAGCGTCCAAGCCACCAGCGTGAGACGGTCTTCCAGGATGAGCGGGTGTTGATTCCCTCTCGGGTCCGTAAGGAGCATCGGATAGGACGGTATGAGGAGGGGATCTCTGTAGGATGACGCTAGGAGATCCGGAAACCATGGTTGACCCTGCCATAGGGGTGAGATGAGGAGCAGGGATCCGCGTTGGGTCTTCAGGTATTGCATCGTCCTGGCTACCATGGCGAATGGGGGAAAGGCGTACGCCCCCAAGGGTGGCCAAGGCTGGAGAAACGCATCTACTGCCTTGCTCTCTGGGTCTGGGAGCCAGCTGAAGTATTCGTCTGTCTGCCTGTTGTTGCGTGACGCGAAGAGGTCCAGGTGGAGGGGACCCTCCTGACCGAAAGGCGCTGGAAGATCGCTGGGTCCAGTCTCCAGTCGCTGCTGTCTCGCCAGTGGCGTGAAAACCAGTCCGCTGTCAGGTTCGTTTCTCCCGGGAGGTATTCTGCCATGAGGGAGATTTTCCGGGGTAGACAAAAGTCGAAAATTTCCTTCGTGATCTCTGAGAGGAGCCTGGATCGGGCTCCTCCCAGGCGATTGATGTAGCGGACCGCTGAGATGTTGTCCATCCGGAGGAGGATGCAGCAGTCTGTCCGGTCTCTCGCTAAGCTGCGGATCGCAAACGACCCCGCTAGGAGTTCTAGGCAGTTTATGTGAAGGTTGGTTTCTTGGGAAGTCCAAGTGCCTCCTGTTGATCTGCCCTCGCTTGTGGCGCCCCAGCCCCACAGGCTGGCGTCTGATTCCAGAACTATGTCGGGTGCATTCCCGAAGATGGCTCGGCCGTTCCAAGCTTCCATGCTGTCCAACCACCATCCGAGTTCTTCCCTGACTTCTTCCGTTACCGGAATGTTTTGGTCGTAGGAAGGGTTCTGACGGAGGAAGGAGGCCTTCAGCCGTTGCATCGCCCTGTAGTGTAGTGGGCCCGGGAAGATTGCCTGTATAGATGCGGACAGCAGTCCCACGATTCGAGCCAGGCTGCGGAGTGGGATGGTGTTGCAGCGGATGACTCTGCGTAGTTCCTTCTTTATGGCTGTGATCTTTGAGATCGGGAGCTGTAAGGTGCTGGTCTTGGAATCTATCTCGAAGCCCAGGAAATGTATCGTCTGGGCTGGGAGCAGCTCCGATTTTTGGTAGTTCACCACGAAGCCTAGGGACGTCAGGAGTTGAATGGTATATCGTGTGTGTTGTGTTAGACTGTACCTGTCTGAGGAAAATAGTAGCAGGTCGTCCAGGTAGATAATGCAACGAATTCCTTGAGTTCGTAGTTGTGATACTACCGGCTTGAGGAGCTTGGTGAAGCACCACGGCGCTGAGCTGAGGCCGAAGGGGAGGCATGTGAACTGCCAGGGTTGGTCTTGCCATAGGAATCTGAGAAATTGGCGGTAAGACCCATGGACGGGGACCGACAGGTAAGCATCTTTGAGGTCCAGTCTCGTAAACCAGTCCCTGTCTTGGAGTAGATCTCTCAGCAGGTGAATGCCTTCCATCTTGAAGTGCCTGTACGTTACAAAAGCGTTGAGTCCCTTCAAGTTTATAACAGGACGGAATTCTCCTGATTTCTTTTTTACTAGGAAAATGTTGCTGAAGAAGCCCTTTCCGTCGTGAGCCGGTTCTATCGCTCCTTTCGCCTTGAGCTCCCGTAGTTCGCCGTCGACGTAGCCCCGAACTGTCTGGAGGATCCATGCGTCCGTGGAGATGGTCGTCCAGTTCTGAAAAGACAGAGCAATACGGCCTGCAGTGTAAGGGGTAAGTGAAACTAGAGACACTAGATTGCTTACCTGTGGGGAAGCGTGCTCTGCCACGGTTACGAGGTCCTCTGCCTCGGTCTGCTCCTCGGGTGTAGGAGAAGGGTTGCCTGAAACCCACTTCCGGGTAGAAAGGCTGTGGTCTGTGTGACCGGGGGCCAGAAGGCCAGAATCGTCTGGCTGCTCGGCCCCTGTAGCGGCCAGCCCGTCCAAAAACACCCCGACTGGGGTAGCCTCTGAAGACTCGTTTCATAGACGTCTGAGCCTTATTGAGGGACGTAAAGATGTTAACATGCTTGTTCAGCTCTTTTAAGAAAGGTTCTCCGAACAATTTGCCCTGTGCCAACGGTCCCAACTCTTTGGTGCCCAAATCCACCAGTTTTCCGTCAATACGGAGTAAAGCTGCCTTGCGCCTCTCAGAGGAGAGGGCTACGTTGGTGTTACCAACAAAACAGAAGCACCGTTGTGCCCATTCTCTAATATCATGTGCCCACTCTTTGACCATGCTAGAGTCAAATTGCTCGGCCCTAGTGAACGCATCATCCGCCAGGTACAATATGCGGGAGAGTGGGCCAATTGAGTCCAGCAGTTTATCCTGGACCCCGTGGAATCCTTTCTCCACGCCCCGCCGAGGGTCGCGGCCACCTCGGGACATAAAGGTGTTCATCACCTGATCAAACTCCGGGGTCTGTGTTACGTGGTCGGGGAGCGAGGGGCGCGGGCATTCAGAGCGTAGACGGTTGCGCACCGTTTTGTCAAGTGGTTTGCGTAGCCAGCGGTGCATAAATTTGGAGAGGTGGTCGGGGGGGTCCAGTCTCCAGAGCGTGGATGGCGGATATTACGAGGGTCAAATAGACGTTGCCCCGTGGGGTCTAGGATGGTATCCCCTTCTTGAGCAGGTGCGAGGTCGTCAGGCAACTGGATGTCGTCCAGGAAGGTGCCTTGTAAGAAGCCAGAATGGGAGCCGGGGTCCGAGTCCCAATTGTCATCATGCGAATCAGAGTCCGCGGCTTGCCACTCGTCTAACACGGCCATAGAGCGCGTGTGTTCGTCCCCCTCATCCGAGGAGTAGTGGGCAGGAGTAGGTGGGGTTGGTCTGTGGCGTTTAGAGGGTGCCTTACCCTTGCCTGGGGTATCGCCCGCTTTCTCACCTTTCCAGTGACGTTTGGTGGGGCGTGGATCCGCCTGTACGTGTGACTCAGAGGCCTCAGAGTCTTCATCCTGAGGTTGGGTCAGCGTGGCTTTTTTAGATTTGTCGGTAGATGCCGACATAACCCTGGACAGCGCTTTCTCCATAGAAGCGGAGATGGCGTCCGCAATCATAGACTGGAAGTCTGCAGGGGTTTGGGATGCTTCCATAGTGATTTTGTGTTGGCACAGGGTAGATGGGCTAGGGGTCAGGTAGTAGAGTATGGATTCAGTAATAATAATGACAACACCCCAGCAGGATGTGTGATAGCACAGGTACAATAAGCACCAGAGACCCCAGCAGGGTAAATTGGGTTTTCTTGCTGGGCCTCACCCAGAAATGTATATGACAGTGAGAGTGGCACGAAATCCGCTCAATCTGGTGTTAAGATGGGATTGGGAAGCCCCTTACCATATACATATACATAGGTGGCACAAAATCCACCTGATGGCAGCAGTGAAATAAGGGCCTCACCCTGTTAGAATTGTAGGTGGCACAAAATCCACCCAGTAAATCAATAATAGTGGACTCACCACTCAATAGGGCCAGCAGCCTCTGAATCCAATAATAAGAATGCCAGTGACCCCTGCCAGTTGTACTTCTTTGCGGTCTGCAAGCCGTCAGCACAGAACGGTATAACACACCCCAGACGGCCGGGATGTGTGTGTGGGTGTCTGGGAATGAGTGGGTTGCGGCGGCGGTCGGCACTGCGCAGTCCGCGGTACTCCCAAAATGGCGGCCGAGAATCTCGCGAGACGCGAGATCCAAGATGGCCGCCGGGGAGCCGGGAAAGAGGTTTCCCGGCGTGCCGGTGATCTAGAAAGCGGCTGGGGAGCCGCAAGGGAGTATTAGGAGCAGGGTGAGCGTTACCCTGAGGGAAATAAGCTGGGAGGCCAGCGGCAAAAAACGGGGGAAAAACGGAGGGAGAAAAAGGGATGACAGAAACCCCTAAGAAGAACGAGCAGAGACAAAATAGAACAAAATCACATAGTGAGACATAATAGTAAGAATAAAAACCCCCCCAGGACAGGAGGGAGAAGTCCCCCAGAAGAAAACAGTATAAAGTAAAATCAAATAACATATAATACAGGAATACAGTAAATATAAAGGGAAGAGCCTTGAAACTCTGACCTGTCTGCTGATGGAGCAGTAAAGAAAGAGGGGGAGGAGCCTCATCACTGTGAATACTATACCTCCTACTGCATTTTTGATTGGTTAATGTTTTCACTTTTCTTTACTGCTATGTGGAGTTAGTAAAGAGAGTTATATGCAAAATATGAAGCCTCCTGTCATGTGGTAAAATTGAAACACAAAACAAAGAAACAATAACAACAGTAATATCTTCCTGCTTCCTCCACCAATTGAAGAGATCCAAGGTTAAAGAGCCTCACAAGAGAGGCTTCAGTTCATAATGTTGCCCGCCAGCAACTACAATGCTTGTTATGTATCCTATGTCCAAGGCACACAATGCATAAATGTGATAATAAGCTGCACTACTTTAGATAGGGAAATGGTTATTTTACGATTGCTAATAGCATTTAAGATAGTTACCACCTTTTGACATCTTTTGTAGGTCTCATAAGCTTTTGATACTCTGGTTGTGTCATAAACCTTTACTAGTGAGTGAAAATGTACACACCTAGTAAACATAGAAACATAGAAACATAGAATGTGACGGCAGATAAGAACCATTCGGCCCATCTAGTCTGCCCAATTTTCTAAAAACTTTCATTAGTCCCTAGCCTTATCTTATAGTTAGGATAGCCTTATGCCTATCCCATGCATGCTTAAACTCCTTTACTGTGTTAACCTCTACCACTTCAGCTGGAAGGCTATTCCATGCATCCACTACCCTCTCAGTAAAGTAATACTTCCTGATATTATTTTTAAACCTTTGTCCCTCTAATTTAAGACTATGTCCTCTTGTTGTGGTAGTTTTTCTTCTTTTAAATATAGTCTCCTCCTTTACTGTGTTGATTCCCTTTATATATTTAAATGTTTCTATCATATCCCCCCTGTCTCGTCTTTCCTCCAAGCTATACATGTTAAGATCCTTTAACCTTTCCTGGTAAGTTTTATCCCGCAATCCATGAACCAGTTTAGTAGCCCTTCTCTGAACCCTCTCTAAGGTATCAATATCCTTCTGAAGATACGGTCTCCAATACTGTGTACAATACTCCAAGTGAGGTCTCACCAGTGTTCTGTACAATGGCATGAGCACTTCCCTCTTTCTACTGCTAATACCTCTCCCTATACAACCAAGCATTCTGCTAGCATTTCCTGCTGCTCTATTACATTGTCTGCCTACCTTTAAGTCATCAGAAATAATCACCCCTAAATCCCTTTCCTCATATGTTGAGGTTAGGACTCTATCAAATATTCTGTACTCTGCCCTTGGGTTTTTACGTCCAAGATGCATTATCTTGCACTTATCCACATTAAATGTCAGTTGCCACAATTCTGACCATTTTTCTAGTTTACCTAAATCATTTGTCATTTGGCTTATCCCTCCTGGAACATCAACCCTGTTACATATCTTAGTATCATCAGCAAAAAGACATACCTTACCATCAAGACCTTCTGCAATATCACTAATAAAAATATTAAAGAGAATGGGTCCAAGTACAGATCCCTGAGGTACCCCACTGGTGACAAGTCCAAGCTTCGAATATATTCCATTAACTACAACCCTCTGTTGCCTGTCACTCAGCCACTGCCTTACCCATTCAACAATATTGGAATCCAAACTTAAAGATTGCAGTTTATTGATAAGCCTTCTATGTGCAACAGTGTCAAAAGCCTTACTGAAATCTAGGTAAGCAATGTCTACTGCACCACCCTGATCTATAATTTTAGTTACCCAATCAAAAAAAATCAATAAGATTAGTTTGGCATGATCTCCCTGAAGTAAACCCATGTTGTCTCTGATCTTGAAATCCATGTGTTTTTAGATGTTCATCAATCCTATCCTTTAACATGGTTTCCATCACTTTCCCCACTACTGAAGTAAGGCTTACTGGCCTATAGTTGCCCGACTCCTCCCTATTACCTTTCTTGTAAATGGGCACAACATTCGCTAACTTCCAATCTTCTGGGACTACACCTGTTAACAATGATTGGTTAAATAAATCTGTTAATGGTTTTGCTAGTACACCACTAAGCTCTTTTAATAGCTTTGGGTGTATTCCATCAGGTCCCATTGACTTATTTGTCTTTACTTTTGACAGTTGAGATAGAACCTCTTCCTCTGTAAACTCACGTGTAATAAATGACTCATTTATCCTTTTTCTCAACTGAGGTCCCTTTCCTTCATTTTCTTCTGTAAATACAGAACAAAAATATTCATTGAGGCAGTCAGCCTGACCTTTATCCTCTTCTACATACCTTCCTTCTTTTGTTTTTAATCTAACTAATCCTTGTTTTACTTTTCTTTTCTCATTTATGTATCTAAAAATGTTTTATCCCCCTTTTTTACTGACTGTGCTATTTTCTCTTCTGTGTGTGATTTGGAAGCTCTTATAACTTGCTTAGCCTCTTTCTGCCTAATCTTATAGATCATTTTGTCTCCCTCACTCTGGGTTTTTTTATAATTCCTAAATGCTAACTTTTTGTAATGGAGACAGTGTGTGGCTGCTAACATAATTACAAAAAATGCTTTCTAGAAAACAAATATCAAGTGAAATAACAGTGCATATAATACAGACCAGTAAAATTATAAAACCATCAGCATGTTTATATATTAATGTTACGAATAAATGTATCTAAAATAAGTTGGGCTGAATATCATATTGACAAGTAAAACTATAACCTAAAATTCAATATGCTTTGTTTAGATTCCATTAAGTAAGATGAATAAGGATTGACAAATCCCTGTTAATTAATGTTAATAGCAATATATATATTTTTAAATAATACATTCTGGTTACTTTTGTTTCTGTATATTATTTCCATATCAGAGAAAACATTCTATTATTATAATAGAACTGTTCAACTTAATTCCTTTAAACATCTATAACTGGTAAAATACTGAAATAATAGCATGGCTGCAACAATTATACAGTCACTTTCATGTTTTTTATTTTTATGTCTTAGATGAAACCTGAGCCATCCCTCCTGGTTAGCAGTAAACTTGAAAAGAAGGCTGCAGGAACCAGCAAAGAAAGGACAAAGGGAGAAAATCATGGGGAGAAAGATATTTCAGCTAAACAAACTGAACCAATGAGGATTAAGATCTTTGAAGGAGGGTGAGATAACAAACCATCACATTATATATTTTGGTGTGCAAAACGCGCAATGTGTCAATGTCTTTCTTCCAAGCTTCAGATGTTAAGCCTTGTTAATGTTATATTTGTGTTCCCCACAGGATTTTATTTTTGTTTACATTTTGCGATCAAATGGTGAGAAAACAGGACTTTAAACTTGAGAGAACTAATGAACATAAAACGTCTTTCCTTGTGATTGTATTCCATCTCGCCAGTCTTGCTGGCCGTTTTACCTGTACATTAGTCCCACTAAGGGCTCGTTTCTTGATACCAACCAGTCGCAGATTAGCAAGTTTCTGGTAAAACACAAAATCACACATTGTGTAAATTGTCATATAGCAGCCAGATCTTGAAGGTAAAAAATGCTCAACCTGGTCATGCATACTTCACTTGTGTTTGGATAAATCTGTGATTTTATGTCATGCCAGACATATATAAATTAATGAATAATTATTTTAAATAATATATACATTAATATGAGAAATGATTTGCTTGTTTATACCAACTGCTTGTCCTTTGCTATGCTTTAATACATGCTTAAAGGATTACTTTAACTCTTTGGAGTGGTGCGAACTTTGTTGTGTGAAATGTCCAATTGGGCACTATGCACAAGATTCCCCCCCTCAGATTGCAGTAAAACTTCTGAAAAACCTGCATTACTGCCTTCCATGACTCGTCATCATGTCACAGAGGTCGCATGCGTTCCAATCACAGGCTTCTCATAGGTGGAGGAAAGGAGTGGGGATGTGGAGGGATATTATTATTTTTTTAAATAAAAGCTGCCTGCAATGGAGGGAAGCGAGAGGGAGCACCCACAGAGTGGAAGGGGAGAGCTGCCTGCAAGGGGAGAATTTTGACATCTGTAGGCAGAGTGCAGTGTGCACGGACTACAGCCATTATTTTAAGCAATGTCTCTTGTGCTGGAGGTGCGACTTGCCCCCAGCACACAATTAACAACATCTTTCTGTATGTGCAGTGTTTCAAGCAGAAACACTGTACATACATATTCCTACCACCCTGATCGCTTCAAATCATAAAAGTGGTCATGGTGGTTGGAGTAAACCTTTGAGGGTTTCATTGTAATTAGTCAATAGCTGCTACTTGACTGTCCTTATATAGCTGCTGGTAACTCATGTTGCTACTGTGGTAAATAGCATCTCTACTTGTAGTGCAATGGTGTCATATTAGCCTTAAAACATGCATTAGGTTGTTCCCCTAAAGAAACAGCTTAATGTGATCTAATAAAATGAGAATTTGAGTAGCAGAGCTGGGTCATCTACAAAATCATTACAGTGTAAGAGCCATCACACCTTCACAAGTCTCACATGTATCAAAATGACCACACTTCAGTCATAAAGGGAAAGGCCCCATAAATGACAAAGCAAAAGCCAGGATTTTGAAAACTTTGCAAGTTTATTAAAAAGGAAAAAAACTGGTATATCACCTTGACATAAGTATTCAGACTCTTTGCTATGACACTTGACATTTCGATCGGATGCATTATGTTTTTATTAAAGCTTTTATTAAATTCAACCTGTGGCAAATTCAATTGATTGGACATGATTTGGAAATGAACACAGCTGTCAATATAAGGCCTCACAGTTGTATATATCAAAAACCAAGCCTTAAGATCAAAAGAACTGCCCGCAGAGCTCAGAGACAGGATTATGTCAATATAGGAAAGTGGCTACATTTAGTGTTTACAAAAGCACAGTGGTCTCCATAATTCTTAAATAGAAGACATTTTGAACAACCAGGACTCTTCGTGTGGCTAGTCACCAGGCCATACTAAGCAATTAATTAAGAAGGATCTTGGTGATAGACGTGACAAAAAATCTGATGGTCACTCTGGATGAGCTCCAGAGGTCATGTGTGGAGAGCGGAGAAACTTGCAGAAGGACAGTCATCAATGCAACAATCCACCGACCTGGCATATATGGCAGACTGATAGAAGCCTCTCCTCACTGCAATACACATGAATGCCCTAAAGGACTGTGAGTAATAAGATTCTCTAGTGTGAAGAAATGTGGGTTGAACGGCTTGGCCTCAATTCAAAGTGCCATGCCTGGAGGAAACCCCTCACTGCTTATGACTTGCGCAATGCCATTCAAACAGTGAAACATAGTGGTGGTAGCATCATGGCCATAGCAGTAACTGGGAGACTGGTCAAGTTTAAGGAATACCCGAACTAAGCAAATTACAGATATATCCTTAATGAAAACCTAGCCCAGAATATTTTTTTTTCATCATACCAAAAACTTGATGCGGTAATTGCTGCCAAAGATGCTTAAACTAAGTACTGAGTTTATAGTCTGAATACGTATGCAATAGTGATAAATCTTTTTCTGTTTAATATATTTGCAATGGTGTTAAAAATCTGGGGTATTGAGTAAAGATTTTTGCAGGGGAAAAAATGAATTCAAAATAAGACTGCTACATAAAAATCTGAAAATAACGAAGAGGTCTGAATATTTTCTGAATGCAGTGTATGTATGACAAATATCACTCAAAAAGCAAAAATACAATGGGTAGCTTTTATTCTGCTGCTGGAATAAATATATAGTTCTCAAAAATATATATTACATTGGCCATAAATGGGACAGATACATGGCATTGAAGGAATCATTTTTCAATCTCTGTTAAAAATTTCCACTTGTCTAAAAACGAATAAATATTAGTCCCCTGGGAAAGTGCCTCATCTGTATTATGAGAAATCTGGCCCTGATGAGGACTACTGCAATATATGTCATCCTGACAAGATTATTGCACATCTACATCAGAGAATGCAATCGGCAGTGAGTGCTACAATAAGCAATGCATTCTGTAAAATAGGTTTAAGATTGATATTGATGTCTTCACAGTATCTTAAAAGAGGTCAATATTTTGTGTTTATGCAGCACACTGTGAGTACAAAAAAGTGAGAAGGAAAGATGTAACATGTTTGCTCCCTTGTACAGAACCAAAAGTTCCTTTTCAGTGTCAAAATTCCTCTTTTTTTATTAACTTTCCCCATGGCTGTTTAGGCAATGGCAAGCTGTTGATCACAACATTAGCTGAGATATAAGCTACATCTTGATCATAAAGATATATTCAATAAATCCTTTGTTAAACCACACTGGATCAAAGGGTATAGTACCTCAAAACATACTCCTCTTAGGCCCACAGTAAAAGTCATCATCACCTTGTGTTTACTATAAATAATCAATACTTTGTAGTTTTATGATAAAAGAAAGCCAGATCTTTGCACTGGAAGTATAATCAGGCTTATATCATTATTTAATAATAGTCAATCATGCACATGTATTCACTGTGAAACCATTCAAAACAGTTAGACAAATTACACTGGGACAGTATACAGTGAGCTTTAGTAGTCATTTAGTGTGGACTATAAAGGGACCCTATAGTCACCAAAGCAATTTAATGACAGAGCTTCAGAAGCTTGTCTTATGCTTAAGGACAAAAGGCCATTTTTGCATTTTTTTGCTGTTTGTATTCAAACGCAATTTGCATCTCTGTCATTTATTGAACCAACACATATTATACATCGTTTTTTGGAGGGCAAGCAGGGCTTTAATTTAATGTCACATATGCATAGATACATTCTCATTAATTATATAAAAATGCCAAAAAAGTTAAATTTAAAAAAAAACAAATTCACAGTTTTGGCAATAATAGCATGTGCATAATATGTCCAGCTTAGAAAAAGTAATTCAAAATAAATTCATTAATGTGTCTTGATTTATAAAGTACATCATATGTATAGGATTTCAGCTTATTTTGAAAGCTACAGGTCACAAAATACAAGGATTAAAATAAAATTTCAATTTGCAACAATTTTAGAATTTTTGTCTTGTAGGTTTAGTAGCCATCACAGAAAACAAAATTGCCACACAAAAGTATATATTTATATAAAGTAGACATCAAAGGCTATTTATCTAAGGTTAGTTTGACACTTTTTATGTAGCCATTTCATCGCAAATCTCTGCTAAATATTGGAGTAAAATTGTGTTTTTTCTTTATTTTGGCATATACACATATAACAAGGTTTTTGCAATGTGTATTTCATAAAGCTGGTGTGTGCTATTCCTGCACAGAACCCCATATTGTGTTCAGCTACATCTGCTGAGTATAACGATAACCCCATTGTATGCCTTTGGCACTTTTCTGTAAAGCTACAGTGCCATATAAGAGACAAGGCTATTTCAGTTTCTATAGTTAGAATTTCCGTAGATGGATTTGACGGGCTTATGTCTCATTTTAGGGTATTATAGCAGTGTGACTGTTCAAATAACCCCACAAAGGTCTTTCATTTGACAAAGCAGACACCCAGGGTATCTTATATGGTGTATATTGTGCCTTAACTTGTCACTATTTTTTCACCAATTTATGTCAATGTTTGGTTTTTTTTTTGGGGGGGGGGAATTGCATTTTTACATATATGTTGCATTTTTGCTGAGTATTTCTTACACTTAATATGTACCACTGTCATAAAAATCCCCAAATTATACTCGGTTACACCTTCTAAATAAAACAATATGCCCAATGTATGACCTAGACACTATTTTGTGAAGTTAAAGTGCTGTAAAAGAGACGTGACAAGTTCAGGTTTTTAAGTGTGAATTTTCATGGAGGCTTTTGATGCGTCCATGTCCCACTTTGGAGCACTTGAGCAGTAAGCAGCACTATTAAATTCCCCAATTTCCCATAACTCCCACCCTCCCCAGGTAGCAAAACATATCATTTTAAAATATTTAAATTAATTAATTAAATAAATTGAAACCCTAAGGGGTTAAACAAAATCAGATCAAAGTATAATACTGTGATCTGTATTTTGATCACTGTAGGTAGTGATCAACTGGCAGGGAGGGGGTTAATTTTTTTAGGACTGGGTAAAGGAGGGTGGGATTTTTTTTAAACTTTAAAAAAAAAATGTATTACATTTTTTTTTACTTTTTAAAACTTTTTTTAACGTTAATCTCTAACTAGCCTAGCACCCAATTCCCCACTAACTTACACCCACCCCAGCTAGCTAAATATACCATTTTAATATATTTAAATTAATTAATAAAATAAATTGAAACCCTAAGGGGGGTTGAAATCAAAATCAACTGGCAGGGAGGGGGTTAATTTTTTTAGGACTGGGTAAAGGAGGGTGGGATTTTTTTTAAACTTTAGAAAAATCAGATCACAGTAAAATGTATACCCTGCCAATTGATCAATGTATTTTCAATTGGCAGGAAAGGGGTTAATTTTTTATTTAAAATGGATAAAGGGGGGTGGGATTTTAATTTAACTTTATTTATTTTTTAGCAGGGAGAAGATCACTGCTGATCCGTCTCCCTGCACTTCACACTGAACCTGGAAGCCCAGGGAGGCGGTTCGCCAGTGTTTGTGACTAAGTGGCTACACAAAAAGACTGAACATACCCCATTTGCAACACCTTGGATTGTCTTCTTTTGCAAATGGTATGGGGGTAATTCTCATTCCTTGGCTACCATACGCTCTCAAAGGCAACTGGCACATTTTAATGTGAAAAAACAGAAAAAACAGAAAAAAACGAGCCTTATAATTGACCCTGTAACGTTAAAAAACACTCTAAAACCTGTACATGGGGGGGTGGGGGGAGTACTGTTCTACTCGGGAGACAGCGCTGAACACAAATATTAGTGTTTCAAACCAGCAAAACATCAATGATATCATCAGTGAAAGTGCCATTTGTGTGGGAAAAACGCAAAAAACATCACTTTCACTGACAATATCATTCCTGTGATATGTTTTTACTGCAGCGAAGTCTACCGAGTAAAACAGTACCCCCCATGTACAGGTTTTAGGGTGTCTTGGAAAGTTACGGGGTTAAATATAGTCCTGTCAAATTTATATTCTCTGGACTTTCCCCAAATTGCAATCAATAAAATTACTTAATTATGTAAAAATATTACATAAATAAGCACGTAGAATTTAAATATATATACATATTTATATATTTGAAGTCTACGTGTATATTTATGAAATTATTTTTGTAATCATACATAAAGCGATCACATGGCCCGTGGGGCCTAATTTGCAGAGGGGGGACTGTCTGGGCTGTCACAGTCCTCCCAGTGGAGAAGAAGACCGATCGCCTGCAGGGGAACAAGTAAGTACGTAGGATTATAGTACGTCAGAGGTCCTTGGGGTTTATTTTTACTTGTATTTTTTAATTTTATTTTTAATTTATTTTACGAAGTGCCTTGATGGCTTCCGATGCTCTGTCTCACTGCCAGGCGCAATGTGGGGCAACCAAGAATTGTTCGCTCCGGGGAAACATCGAGGCATCACTGCAATACCCGTAGAGCGCTTCCAGTGCTCAAATGTGCCACGGACGTATCAAGTACGTCCGAAGTCGTTAACGACCAGTTTTTGTTGGATGTACCTGATATGTCCGCAGCTATTAAGGGGTTAAAGGGAAATTATAGTGTTAGGATTACAATGCTGTGTTCCTAACACTATAGTGCCCTCTGATACCTCCCCTCCCCTGGGGCATGTAAAGGGTTAAAAACACTTTAGTAACTTACCTGATTCCAGCGCTGATGTCCCTCAATGCAGATTTGGAGCTCTGCCTGAGTTACAGGGAGAACATGAGACACAGGCGAATATGCATTCCCCCACAGCACAAAAAAAAAGTCATCTTGTTTCTCTTAACCTCCCTTTTAAATGTCTTGTTCTCTTTTGTGTTTCTTAACCCCTCTTTTTAATGTCCGACATTATTTGACAGGGGCTAATGCGATGCATGGGAGCGCCTCGAGCGCATTAGGCCATCCCATTAGGAGGGTATTGTTTCAGTGCTTTCTTATAGGAATTTTACTTATTCAGAGCGTTAGGACATTTAGTGTTATTAGGGTACCTAGAGTTTGTTAGCAGCCAAAAAAGTGCCTCTAGTGGCTGTGTGATTGATAAAAGTTATTTTAATAGTTCTAAAGAGATTTAAGGAGATACATCTTCAGCATTGGGGTATTGTTTGTGTTGGGCTTCTAAAGAGGCCAACAAATAGAGTAGGTCTTATTACATTTGATTTCACATTTTAAGGATGAGACATATTTAATAAAATAATGTCTTATTATGGGCAAACACATGGTATGATGAGATGTATACAAGGTAGTGTTTTTGTGAGAAGTAATCTTTAAGAATCAGATAAATCTTGCTACATGGTTGAGCCATAAAGTGTCTACTACTAGTGTATAAAATAGTCTAGTGTTTCACCATGCAGCCCAGAATACTAAATATGCCTCTATAATCATTCCCGACATATTGTAGAATGAGAGTCCAGCTGATTTAGAATTAGAAACTGCATGATAAGCCTATTGGAAATTCTTATGAAATAACAAAGGCATGCATCCACTGGGGGAATGTGTTTCCTGGACACTATCTGCACATACAATCTCTTGTTTTTTAGCAATAACATACGTCTCCTATGAGGCATATTCATACCTTTTGCATTAATGCACTGTAGTATCAGACCTATTATTAAATAAAAAAATGTTTGTCGCTCTTGCATGCATGAAATCATGCAGGCCCTCAGCCATCCTAATTTGAAATAGATATTTATGTGTTGCACCAATGCATTATTCTGTCAGTAATCCTTTTATACACATATTGCATATTACACCTTTCTGCTAATGGACATATTCTGCAGTTCTGTATGTTTACAATGGAAAGTACCTCAACAAATAGTAAAATACTGCTAGTGCCCCAGGCAAGTGAATGAAGAAGAGTGTATGACTGCTGATTTACACCCATATCTAAAAAATACTAGGCAACATTTAAAACGTATTAAACTTTGATGTATTTTGTTAGAATTCTGGAATATTTTCATTATATGGAATATATATATATATATATATATATATATATATTTATTCTAACATTAACCATCACCTTATGTTGCTGCTTCTTTAATGAAAATCTGCTCAAGGTTATTCATTGTTACCTAGCAACACCTGTAACTCATGATTTATAAGCAATTTATTATATGTATTCTCCGTACTAACCTATGAATTCACACTGCCTGATTGCAACCCCAGTTAATACCTTCCTAGATGTATATATAAACGGAATATATGTATTTATTTTGCTGCATCGACAACTGGCAGCTGAAAAGGTACTGTTGTAACTGAAATGCCAATGTAGAGAAATAAAACACATTTTCTCTTCAGAAAATAACCCTGAACTGTGGTTCCTTAACTCCCACTACACAGGCAGAATAAAAATACTGGAACCCTAGTCCATACCCTGCTCTTAACCCCGAATTTAAAAAAAATACATATGCAGTACTAATAATATATAGCTGTGAAGAGTATGCTGTGGGGAAGTAATTTGTTCGGGAGACATTCATAAACCACTTTATCTTCGGGCCTGTGGTCAATATTGATGACTGCGGAACCTATCAATGGCATTATAGTCCCATACATACACAGTTATATTCTCTCTCTCTCTCTCTCTCTCTCTCTCTCTCTCTATATATATATATATATATATATATATAAAGATAGATAGATAGATAGATAGATAGCTACATATACAGGTTGTTAAAGTACTAAAGTTTTAAATGTTGTACAGCTTATTATAAAGAACTGGTGACAGTACTAGTGTTTTTCTTTTTTTGCATAACAAAGTGACTTAAGCTCTCATTATTTGTCTCCCGTAGTTTCAAGTCAAATGAAGACTATGTGTATGTGAGAGGACGAGGTCGTGGAAAGTACATATGTGAAGAATGTGGTATACGTTGCAAAAAACCCAGCATGCTGAAGAAGCATATCCGCACCCACACGGATGTACGGCCATATGTGTGCAAACTGTGCAATTTTGCCTTCAAAACGAAAGGTACATAGTAATGTATTAAATATTGGTGGACTTGTTGTTATATTAAATACCAAAACAAAAGTAATGAGATTTATTGCCAGTGGTTTAAATGAAATTCAATTCAATCAAAATTGAACGTTTTTATTTTTCACCACATATTTATTGTGATCTTGTAATTGCAGGCTAGAGATTTTAGAATTGCAAGTAGCCTGACAAATTAGTTGTGCCTCCTAAGAATTGGTTCTTAAATTCTTTAAACACTTGTCAATTCCTGATACAGTTCTAATTAAGGGACAAGAAATGCAAGAACTGACCCAATGCATTCAATTGATAGTGTATTGAAAGTATACTACAAATAAAGTTAAATAATAGAAAGAAAAAAATATATTTAGGTCTCTAATGTTTCTGCAAATACAGTGTAAGTTGAAGCAGCAGGCAGACACCCCTCTGATCAGGAAGAAGCCCCACAAAGGCTTATTCTGGATTTTTATTATCCCATAAACTGCTGTCCAACCTAAGTCAAATTCCTCAATTAGCTGAGAAGACTCAGTTTTGTGATCTATGCAGGGGCACCTCAGGCTCTTTCCAGGTGATGACAGAGAAGTCCATATGATGACCTTTGCAATGATGCAGTGGTTTATGCACTTAGAGTAACCCTTTAACTTCAGTGATTTTCTGAAATGTTTCTTCTCTGTTTAATGGGAAAATTACTGTGTATTTTTATGGTCCCGATTGAACAAGAAATAGTACATTACCTTTCTCTCGTGCTGTATAGGAAGACAAACTTTACCCACCTCTGTAACCACAGTTGAGTCACAAAACAAAATACAGTTCACAAACAAAACAAAAATGCTCACATACTCAATGGAAACCCACAAACAAGCCATAATTAATTGTTCACAGTAATACTACATATGAAAATGTTTAGTATTAGCTAATACTATGTTTCAGCTGTCACTTGATGAATTGATGAGTCAAAAGCTAAAATAAGTGTTACATTCATGCCTACATGTTATGCTTTTTTGTGCTATTTTAATTCAATGAATTTTTATACAAACATAAAATCACATAAAGGAAGATGTGTTAATAACATAAAAGTAGTTCTTTCACTCCATTGTCTTGGCAAACATTACATTATACAGAACACGTATGCGTCCAATTACTGGGGTAAACTTTTTTTAAGGTAGATTTTTATTTTTCTCAAGTTTAAATTTTTCAGTTAAAAATATAATAATATTGTAAATTACTCAACATTAACTCAATATTAACAGAGGCAGAGTATGATCAATACAAAATAACCAATAACAAAAAATTCAAGGTAACCATTGAGGAAATAAAATTGATCAAACATCCATTTCATTTTTAGCACTTTCATAACATATCTCTTGGGCACTTTTAAAAAATAAATCAATATTTAAAACGTCAGACTCCATGCTTTTTTTGATATTCACAAGAAAAGTAACAAGAATTATACCTGTCCTTTAACCTTGAAATTTTACAGACTTGAGACCTTGTACATACATATACAATGCACTGCCATATATTCTTCACACTTCTCATGTTACACAAGGCGTAGCATATTAGCATAAGCTTCAAGTACGAAAAAAATTAAATAAATTACATTTCTCCTGCTGCCGCTGTGGCTCCCCCTTTTTTCAATTGCCATTCATTGTCAATCAGTGTGACTACTTGTTTTTACCTCCACAGATGCAGTTGTCAGAAGCTATTTAAGGCACTTTGTTTTTCACCACACTAAAGGACAGTCACTGACACTACTGACTAGATGTGTGGAAAAGCTTTTTTCTTGTAAGGGTTGTAGGGGTGAGTGGGTAATCATTTGCCCACTGACATTTTACAATTATTTTTGGATAGATCCCATATTTTGAACTTGCAATGATCCCTGCTCCCTGTTTCATTAATACAAGATAACAAAAGGAAAAATATTACGTTATTTCACTTCCTATTTTTTTTATCAATCCAGATATAAAATAAAATAATTTTGACATTGCAAAATGGCTGGTATTATGTAGTCATTAGGTAATTTTTTCATTTCAGCATAGTCTAGTTCACCATTTTTACCAATTACCTTCCTGAATTTTTTTGGGGAGGGTTTCAAAATTCACCCAAGCAAAGCAGAGGCATAAAACCAAATTATTCCTTTCCCCCCAATTTTTTTTTTTTCTGTTGAAGTGGTTCTCAAGAACCAATTTCTTTTCTCCTGTACACATCTAGTTCTCAGTGATTAAATAAACTACATGTGACATGATAACAAGAAAGGGAAAGTTTCTCTACTGGGTCATTTGTAAACTGATGGTAAATATTTGTAATACTGAGATCTAATTTGTGACTGATATTGCAATACAATATATGTGTCAGCGCTAAAATAAATAGTTCTGGGATTAAAACAACAGACTTGCAGACTCCAGATGTAGCTTAATTATGAGCTATAGTCTACTTATAATGCCAATCGTTCACACTAACCGACACAAAGCAAAGTAAAGAGAGCTGCTCCACGCTGACTCTCCCTGACAGATTTTCCTGATGTTGCATTTCTGTCATGGGCAATGTCTATAAACTCCTTGTTGATGTGGACAGTGCTGGGAGGGATGGCACAAGCAGCAAAACAGAAAAGGCATTCAGAGAATAGTTTGCTTTTATGGATCTATCAGTGGGTCAGTTTCATGTTTATCAATAATATAAAGGCCCACAGACTCCCCGGTGGACCACTCCATCCGTAGCTGAATGAATTATTGATAGAGTCCTGATAGCTAGTGTTCACATACATTCATCAGCAGAGAAACAACTTCCATTTGATGCCACGGGTCCTGAGACACATTTATTAATTTAAGCCAGTTTGCACTGAAACCCTGGAAATCAATACGGTCTGCAATAGAATACTTGTAAGATTTCAATTTAGTCTTGTATGTAAGCTATTAAAATACAGGTAAAACATGAAATTATCTTATTGTAAACTTATCCTCACTAGAAAGAGTGTATTTACTGTAGGGTGAATTAGGCAGCAGGTACAACAGATAGATGTGAAGATAGTGGCTGTGTTTGCTAATGGGATGCCACCCCTAATAGCTTTAATTTGCTCATTCTTAATGCTGTAATCTTGAAGACAGAGTATTCATTCAGCAATTAATAATTTAGATGTGTGATGGTTCATGGTCAGATCTAGATGTTTTTTTTGTTGTTGTTTTTTTAAATCTCTTTATTTTGAAGATTCTATTTTATGGGGTAGGGTACAGAAAGAAGAATCTGGGGGTACAAGTTTATAATATATACATTGCATAATATATGCCGAAATAGGTTTCGTTGTGTTGTCTCTGTATAAAACATTAACATTTGCAGAAAGTAATATAAAGTGTGGATACAGTTAGCTGTTTGGTGTTACTTCTCGTAGTTGTATATACTGTTTCGTATTGGATTAGTTCCAATTCTTCTTCCCATATTTATTCTTATGTATTTGTGGCCTGGCTGGCCGGTTTTGGGAGGTGGTGTTGTCATGTTAGGTGGTGTGTTTTCGTCTTCTGTTTTTGTGTGGTCTGTGGGGTAACATGGGATGGGTGTGTAGACCTCTTGTTTTTGGCCGTTTAGTTATTTTCTAATAATATGCTGGTGTCTGTCGGCGTGGCAGTGGTGTGGGCGTTGGTCGTCTCCCTGTCTTGGCTGGTTGGTGAGCCGTTTGGTGTGTCTGGAACGTTTGTGGTTATGTTGGTGTGTGTATGGTGGGGATGTAAGGAGGCTTGACTGACTGAGGTCTAGTGTGGGAGGTGGTGTATGTTCATGTGGTGTGTGGAGTGTGAGGAAGCAGGAGGCGTAGTTATGTAAGTGTGTGGTGGGAGGGACACAGTGAGGAGTGGAGGCTAGGGGAGATGGAAAGAAGGGGGAAGTGAGAAAGGGAGAAGGAGGGGAAGAAAGAAGAGAGAAAGAACAGAAAGAAAAAATTGAACAGAGAAAGAGAAAAAAAAAGGGAAAAAAAGAGGGGAGGGAGGGTATCCAGATGTGGTGGGATGGAGAGTGGTTAATGGATCTAGGTATTGTTTTAATCAGTATTTTTACTGTAAATGAGGATTACCTATAGATTGTCAAATATATTGAAACATTTGATATCAACACTAGCGCTAAATTTAAATTTCCTATAGAAATAAATCAAATTTAAAAAAACAAGTGCTACAGTAATTCGATGAATATTAATAAACTAGTAGATTGTAGATTATTCATATTTTGTGATGAGTAAGGCTGTTAGATATTCTGAGGGACATTGCTGAGATGGAGCTAACAAAGACTAGACCCCTGAGTGGGGTCCTGAAAGAACTGATAAAAGTAGAAACATTCTCGATTAAGCTATAATCACAGTTTGACTGTTATAACCTGAATTTCAAATACATTTTTGAGTTCACCACAATTGTTTGTTTGTGGAATAAAACCATTATCTGTAAACTATAATAATTTCACTGATATAGCTAACATCATAAACCCGGTGTGGGCCATAGTGCTTTGCAAAGTAATGCGTGGTACAACTGTAGCACTCAAAGCCACCCTTAATCGCCTCTTGTTCCGGGGGGCCCTGGAGATGGCCGGCTGGCCACCTCAGGGCCCCCCCGAGGCTGGCATGCACTGATGTTGCGGGCGGCGAGGGAGCACTGTCCCCTGAGCTCTCCCTGCTCAGCCGGAATATGACGTCACTCTGGCCCCGGCATCCCTAAGAGGCACACGAGGGAGCTGAATGGGAGGATCGGAGCTCCCTCGCCGCCCGCCTCCTCGCTCACCTGTCTGCCAGACCTCCCGACCGCCCGCCTAACTGCCAATCTGCAGCCAGCCCCACTGGACCACAGGGAAAAAATCCACTCCAGCACTCCCAAAGGTAGGAGGCTGGATGGATTGAAACGTATTTATTTATTTTAAATTGTGAGTGTGTTAGTCTGTTGGTGAGTGTTGGTGTATGTCTGTTAGTGAGTGTGTGTGTTAGTGAGAGTGTGTAAGTTTGTCTGTTAGTGAATGTGTCTGTTAGTGAGTGTTAGTGTGTCTGTTATTATTATTATTATTTATACAGTTCCAATAAATTCCGCAACGCTTTACAGTGGGTGGACGAACAAACATGTAGTTGTAACCAGACAAGTTGAACACACAGGAACAGAGGGGTTGAGGGCCCTGCTCGATGAGCTTACCTCCTAGATGGAGTGGGGTAAAGTGACACAAAAGGTAAGGATAGTATTAGACTCATGGCAGTTGCAAGAGAGGAATCAGTCGGGAGCTATTAACAGTTTAATTGATACGCTTTTATAAAGAAGCGGGTTTTTAACAATTTTTTGAAGGAGTAGAGTCTGGGTGAGCATCTAACGAAGGAGGGAAGTGAGTTCCACAGGAATGGTGCAGCCCTCGAGAAGTCTTGAAGGCGAGCATCAGAGGTGGGAGTTCGGACAAAAGATAGACGTAAGTCTTCAGCAGAGCGTAAGGGCCTAGACGAGACATACTTGTGTATTAGGGAGGATAGATAGGTGGGAGCAGCATTAAGTAGAGATTTGAAAGCAAGCAGAACCAGAAGAACCAGAATTTTAAATTGAGCCTTATATCTTACAGGAAGCCAAAGTAGGGACTGACAGAAGGGTGAGGCGTTTGAGGTGTGTATGTGTCAGTGAGTGTGTGTCTGTCACTGAAAGTGTATATGTGTTTGTCAGTGAGTGTGTATGTGTGTTTGTCAGTGAGAGTGTATACGTATTTGTCAGTGAGTGTGTATGTGTCTGCCGGTGAATGCGTATCTGTCAGTTAGTGTATATGTGTGTCTGTCAGTGAATGTGAGTGTGTGTGTAACTCTGAATGAGTGAGTGTGCATATCTGTGAATGTGTATAGTTCAGTGAAAGTGTGTGTTGGTTAAACAATGTGTGTGAAAATGACTGTGTATCTGTGAGTGTATGTCAGTGCATGCATTAGTGAGGGCGTGTGTCTATCAGGAAGAGAAATTTGGAAGGTGGAGCCGGGGTGCCTGAGTTATGTCATGCCTAGGGCAGCACAAAAACAGAATACACCACTGCTCAGAGGGTTAACTGGACAATTTTCGGTATATAATATAACTGCAAGAACCAGTTAGGAATCTATTTTAAATTTAGATGACTTACAAGAGGATTTGAGATAAATGACCTGGAAATATCCCCTTTTCTGTAGTTCACTCATCCGTACCTGTCTGTCCCCTTATAGGAAACCTAACAAAACATATGAAGTCGAAAGCACACATGAAAAAATGCCTGGAGCTGGGAGTAGCAATGACATCCGTAGATGATGCTGAAGCAGAGGAATCAGGTACGTCACATGAGTTTATTTAGCTTTTTCAGTGTGTGTGGGTAGATGAGCCACCCACGCAACTGCCTGCCATTGGAGATTAAATATAGAGTAAACCAGAGCTTTGCAACTATTCATTTAAAGGGGCGATTTTTCTTAAAAATATGTTTCTACCCTAAAAATCTAAGCATATATTGGTTTCAGACATTCAGTTGCTAGATGTGTTTTGTATCCTATGGACCACCTATACTATAATAAATTACATTTTAGGGGCACACCTGAAAATGGAAATAGCAGTTGGCAGAAGCTAGTAATATATAAAAGATAGAAAGTACATGACCGTAAACTGAAGGAAAATCTCAATGAAGAAGAGAAACCTGTATCATGTATTTTTCTTCAGTATGGTTTTCTGTAATGATAAGCATGATTTTTTTTGCAGTAGGCTCATTGCCTTTCCTACTAGCTTTCTTATTTTGCTTTTTTTTTTTTTTGTGAAAACAGTTTAATTTATTATACGTTGCTACCTTACTACCATTTCTGTTGGTATTCTTCCATGCAGGAAGAGACTTGGCCTTATAGTGCTTTAGCTAAGGGGCAAGCTACCTTCTGCACTCCCAATGTTGTGGACTGTATCTCCCCTGATACTTTGCCAGCATTGTGGCTATATGAGCATTATGGGAGCTGTAATCTACAGTTTTGGAAGTGCTGATGTTTGCCTGCCCTTTCTTTAGTTAGTAGAGTGTGTATTCTTAGTTACATATAACATTTGTTTCTATCCCAATTACGAAATTTCAAAGTTTGATTTTTAAACCCATGACAACTTGTGATGCTTTTACAGGAAATTTCCTTTAAATAAATCAAAACAAGATTCACAAAATATTAATAAGTTTCCGTCAGTATTACTTTTAATATAATTAGCACTTTAAATTAGAGTTGGTCAGTAGGTGTTTAACCCCTTAACGACCGATGACAGTTCAGGACCGTCATCAGAAACCCTTGAGGACTGACGATTGTCCTGAACTGACAAAATTACTTACCCGATCGCCGCAGTTCCCCTGCTGGCGATCGGCGTTACTCCGGGTCTGGAGGGACTGCCTGACAACCCAGGCAGTCCCTCCTCTGCAAATTAGGCCACCGTGGCCATGTGATCGCTCTAACATGGCCGCAATAGATGTCCATGTATCTGCCTGCAGGGGGACTGACTGTGCTGACAAAATAAAAAATATAAATAAAAATATTAGTAAATAAAAAAATAATAATATATGTATTTTATTTATTTATTTATATATATATATATATATATATATATATATATATATATATATATATATATATATATATATATAATATATATATATATATATATATATATATATATATATATATTAAAAAAAAGTAATAAGCCCTTGCACTCCAACTCAAAAAAACAATGATACCCGGTGCTCTGGTAGCTAAGCACTATATACAAAAAAGTACCGGCACTCCAAGGATTTCCAGAATGTAATCTTCTTTATTCTAAATGACATCAACGTTTCAGCTCCCTTACAGAGCTTTAATCAGGATAAACCTGGAGTTGGCTAGACCAAGGAGTTGGCTAGACTCCCAAATATATATATATATATGAAACATGGGGGGTGGTTGCACTCACCTGAACATGCTTAAATGGGGTGCTGCTGGGGGCCATATTATACAATAAACAATACACAAGATCCAGCGCACTCTCCTATCTACTAAACAGCAACTTCAATGTTGAAACATTTTATTAGTTTTTTTTTTTTAAGTTTTTTCTTAGCGTTTTTTTTTTATATCTTGTGTATTGTTTATTGTATAATATGGCCCCCAGCAGCACCACATTTAAGCATGTTCAGGTGAGTACAACCACTCCCCCTTGTTTCATATATATATATATGAGTTTTAAAAAAAAACTAATAAAATCTTTCAACATTGAAGTTGCTGTTTAGTGGATAGGTGAGTGCGCTGGATCTTGTGTTTTGTATTATTTGGCCCCCAGCAGCACCCCCATTTATGCATGTTCAGGTGAGTGCAGCCAACCCCCCCTTGTTTCATATATATATATATATATATATATATATATATATATTTGGGAGTCTAGCCAACTCCTTGGTTTTGCACCCCTCCCTGTTACAGGTGTACTGCAGAGAGCCTCAGATGGAATTTTTTTCCCCAAGTTAGTGAGTTTTCACATAAGAGTAGACATTAGACTGTAAGAGTAGGACCTGCCAAAGATGGGGTACATTGACGTTGTCGCAGGCTTATGCAATGTATGGTACAAAAGTATAAAACAATCAAGTAAAAATGGCGCTATAAAATCAATAAGAATAATATCACTAACAAAGGCTAGCAAGCACTAATAAAAGTGAAATAGCTCTAAAACCACTCAAATAGAATACAAAAAAAGAACAAAAGTGCGCTGTGCCTTTAAGTGCTAATGTAACAATATGAACAATTTGTAAACAAATACTGATCCAACAGTAGTGAATAAAGTGCAAATAAATTTTATCCAGTAGTTAATACCCTGTGAATATGTGCTCTTTGTGAAGTTCAAACAAAAAAAGCACTTACTCCTTTAAATATAGAAACTGTTGACGATTGAAGGAGTATCTCTTTAAAACGCTCCACATAGAAATAGAAAATAGGGGAACAAAAGAACACAATATAGTGTAACACTGTATAACAAATGTAATCAGAAGATAATAAAAGAATACCACTCACAATGGTAGAGCAGAATAAAGTCTGCTCCAACTATAAAAGCTTTCAAATCCTCTCAACAGGATTCTGTAGGATAGTAGATAAATGTGCTTGAAGCAAGCAGGACGGCACCAAATAAAAATAAAACTTTTATTGGTATAAAATTACACAGTGAATCATCACCCCTCTCCCTGGAAAGCCAAGCTGGTTCAAGTCCCCTTCTGACTCGCGGCATGCACTTGCGGTCTTCCAGTGGTTAGATGCTTCCGAGAATAGGAGGTGCTGTTGACACGTAATGACGTTGTGCGTCCGAAAAACGTGATGACGCGTTTCGCCTTAACGGCTTCCTCAAATCACGTTCGGGTGGTTGCCGTCTCTCAAAGTATATACCCGTCTGTGTAGCCATGGTATCAGCTTCAATAGTCCCAAATGCAATCAAAGTCCGTGGACTCCAGGGCATATTGCCTAAATGTCTCTTTATAAAAATGTCCATAATCTCAAAAATCATGCAATGTATGATCATATAATGTAACTAAATCCCCATTATTTTTTGCCTAGATTAGGTGTTTTTTTAAAAAACCTTTAGAAAAAACTTTTTAAAAAACTAATAAACTCTGTCAACATTGAAGTTGCTGTTTAGTAGATAGGAGAGTGCGCTGGATCTTGTGTATTGTTTATTGTGTATAATATGGCCCCCAGCAGCACCCCATTTAAGCATGTTCAGGTGAGTGCAACCACCCCCCATGTTTCATATATATACATATATTATATCTATATATAATATGTATATATATCTTGTATATATAATGTAATACTAAGAGTATTTTTATATTAATATATATATATATTAATATAAAAATACACTTAGAATTAAATTACACACATATATACTATATATATAATCACTATATATATATATATATATATATATATGTATATATAAATAAAAATAATACGATATATATATATATATATCCATATACATAATTACATAAATAATTTCATAAATATACACGTAGACTTCAAATATTTAAATATGTGTATACATATTTAAATTCTATGTGCATATTTATGTAATATTTTTACATAATTAAATAATATTATTGATTGCAATTTGAGGGACCTGCCTGACAACCCAGGCCGAAAGTCTAGAGAATTTAATTTGCTAGCACTGTACAATGTATCTTTGCATGACACCCTAAAACCTGTACATGTGGGGTACTGTTTTACTTGGGAAACTTCGTCGAACACAAATATTAGTGTTTCAAAACAGTAAAACAAATCAGAGCATAATATTGTCAGTGAAAGTGAAGTTTTTTGCATTTTTCACACACAAACGGCACTTTCACTGATGATATCATTGTTGTGATATATTTTACTGTTTTGAAACACTAATATTTGTGTTCAGCGAAGTCTCCCGAGTATAACAGTACTCTCCATGTACAGGTTTTATAGTGTTTTTGAAAGTTATAGGGTCAAATATAAAGCTTGATTTTCCGTTTTTTCAATTTGCCAGATTGGTTATGTTGTCTTTGAGAGCGAATTGTAGCCCAGGAATGAGAATTACCCCCCATGATGGCAAACCATTTACAAAAGAAGGCAGCCCAAGATATTGCAAATGGGGTGTGTTCAGTCTTTTTTTAGTAGCAACTTAGTCACAAACACTGGCCAAAATTAGCTTTTTATAATGTTTTTTTTTTGCATATTTAACACACAAACAAATGTAAATGCTAACTTTGGCCAGTGTTTGTGACTAAGTGGCTACTAAAAAAAACTGGACATACCCCATATTGAATACACTGGGTTTTCTACTTTAAAAAAATATGTACATGTGAGGTGTGATTCAGAGATTTATATATAACAATGTCACTATTGATCAATTTTTAAAAAATATTTATTTTGTACTTATAGCCCTATAGCTTTAAAAAAAAGGAACGTAAACACTGGGTGTTTTTAAACTCAGGACAACATTTTGAATCTATTTAGCAGTTTTTTTTCACCAGCTTTTGTAGATGAGTAAAAGATTTTTCAAGTAAAAGTAAAAAAAATGTGTTTTTCAATTTTTCACCATATTTTTTTTTTTTTTTTAAGTAAGTATTATATGACATGATACAAATAATGGTATGTAAAGAAAGCCATTCTTGTCCTGAAAAAAACAATATGGGATATTTGTATGGGAACAGCAAATGAGAGAGAGGAAAATTACAGCTAAACACAAACACCACAAACGTGTTAAAACATCCCTGGTCCTTAAAGGACCACTATAGTGCCAGAAAAATAAAATTGTTTTCCTGGCACTATAGTGCCCTGAGGGTGCCCTCACCCTCAGGGTCCCACTCCCGCGGGGCTGAAGGGGGAGGAACGGGGTTAAACACTCACCTTTTTCCAGCGCTGGGCTCCCTCGGCACTGGAGACTCTCCTCCTCCTTCGGTCGTCATTGGCTGAATGCGCATGCGCGGCAAGAGCCGCGCGCGCATTCAGCCAGTCCATAGGAAAGCATTCTCAATGCTTTCCTATGGACGCTGGTATCTTCTCACTGTGAAGCGCGGAAGCACCTCTAGCGGCCGTCAATGAGACAGCCACTAGAGGCTAGATTTACCCATATGTAAACATAGCAGTTCTCTGAAACTGCTATGTTTACAGTAGGCAGGGTTAACCCTAGAGGTACCTGGCACCCAGACCACTTCATTGAGCTGAAGTGGTCTGGGTGCCTATAGTGGTCCTTTAATGTACAGCATTGCCAAAACAGTCCGGTCCTTAAGGGGTTAAACAAAGGCACCTGGGGACATGTAGTGTCAGCAACCAATTAGAACCTACGATCACAATGGCTTGATTAGATTTCTGGTTTCCTATGTGCAAGGAAGAGTAAGTTGTGATGTTGAATGCTTTCCACTTCAAGACAGGCTGTGTTAGTGATAAATCTTTAATGAATTTTGAATAATAAAATCAAAACAAATACCTATTGAAATGATAAAAAACAATGTATTTAAATCCTGATTTGACATTGTTTAATACTTAAACTATTACTTAACTATTGGTCAATTATATTTTTGAAGTGCAATAGTGTGATGATATAACTGTTCTTTACTAAAGGTGACAAATAGTAGAATTTTATTACACTTTTGCTTATTTCAGGAGAAAAGTAAAAATTTCTCACTTTATTTTCCTTCCTTTTTATAGTGAGAGTATATCTGTTTTCAAGTGTTAAAATTATAAACATTTCAAAGTCATAAATCCATGGAAAATTCAATGTAAATAAGTAAAGCTGACTACCCACCATCAAATTCAACAAAAATATATTTTTATCGTAGTTTTACAAAGTGAATGCTGGAATTCAGACAAAGAGTCATTTGCTTTAAATCAACTGGCAGTATGGTCTAGGATTTAGCACACATCTGTAATATCTCTCCCATAACCTACAGTTCAGTAGTCTTGTATGTGTGCTATTATTACAGGCATTGATCATTTGGATTGTATTAAACACTCCAGCACTTGACATTATTTGCATGTCATTAATGTACCAAGGTGGCATTTTTAAACGTGTAAAAAAATGAACTTTTTAATTTGGCATAATAAAATCCTGAAGCTGTTAATTTACTTTTAATCATTATCCAACCAGTATGACTACTGCTCAGTGCTGTCATTCTTCTTATTAATCATTGACTGTCTTTTTGCTAGAATTCACGCTTTTAAAAATATGTTTATTATTTTTTGCCGCTATTCATATCTTCTACAAATCATTGGAAGTAATACATATAGGACAATGCATTTATGTTATTTTGATAAGAAAAAAAAAGTATTGATTTGTAAAAACATTTTTTTCTTCAGGAAGTATCGAAGAAACACAGAAAGAATCTGAAAAGAATGTCACAGCTAACGATCACCAGTTTTCTGATGCTGAAGAATCAGATGGAGATGATGGTGACGATAATGAAGACGATGACGATGATGATGATGATTTTGATGATAACCAAGGAGATATAACACCAAAAACAAGGTCAAGAAGCACTAGCCCTCAGCCACCCAAGTTTTCAACATTATCTGTCACAGCTGCTTCAGCATCCCAGAGAACTTCACCCGATGGCTCCATAGGCCATTCCTCCTTAATGACTTATTTATCAACTTTGCCCAGTATTCAAGTTACACATCTCATGACACCAAGTGCTATGTGTGGAGATTCACAAGTGATGGAATATCAAAGGCTTTTCCTAACCCGAGATAGAATGGATATATCTGGCAGCATGGATGAGGACTATATGCTTACATCTGAACCTAGTTCTTCTCCCAAGGATTTCTCTTCCTGCAGTCACCATTCTTCACCAGGATATGATTCTTCCCCTTGTAGAGATAATTCTCCAAAGAGGTACTTATCACTTAGAGGGGATTTGTCTCCCAGAAGGCACTTATCACCAAGACGAGATGCTTCACCAATGAGGCACTTATCACCAAGAAAAGAAGCCGCACTGAGGAGAGAATTGTCCCCAAGAAGAGACATATCACCACGGCGTCATCTTTCACCTTTGAGGCCAATGTCACCAGGGAAAGATATGTCTCCTGGAAGAGATCTATCTCCAAGACAAGAGAGGAGATACATGGGCTCATTTAGACCAGTTTCCCCCAGAAGACGTTTACACCATAACACAAGTTTGCCAATGAGTCACTATTTGCACTCAGACTCAGGACTGCTGGGGCATGGAGTAAGTAAAATTGTTTATAAATATACTAATATCCTAAACATGTACATAATAAGTATTGTTCTTATCTAATATCAACTAACTACTTTGCTATGCCGTCTCTTTGCAGTGGTAAATTAGAGTTAAAAATAATGGCTTTGTATGTATGGCATGGAATTTACTGGTATATACTGTGTGAGGGTGCTGTGGTGTTGAATAGTATATGCAATGGGTATATGGAATGAGCAGTGAGTGAGATAAGTGCGTATGGATTACCTTTTTGAAGCTATGTTGACTTGCAGGTTTTGTGTGTGATGCGGACACCAAAAAAGTGTCTCACACAATTCTAATACGCCTACTATATTCAATGGAAGTTACATATATCATATATAAACGAGTAGCTGAGCACTTGGCAGGAGTTCCACTCACTGGATAAGATAAATAGAACTAGCTACTTAAAGGGACACTAAAGTGTCAGAAACACAAAAGTGTATTACTGACAGGATAGTTCTAAAATCCCTGTTTAAGTGGTCGCCCCTCCCCCTTCTATTGGGTTAGAGGGATGATTTACTCACCTCTTTCCAGTGCCGTGCAGGGTTCCTTGCATCTGGCCCCACCCCCAATCCAGCTCCTTGGCTGACATCATCAGAATTGATGATTTCAGCCAATTACAATGCTTTCTCAATCAGGTGGAGGCAGAGCCAAACGCCACACTGGCCAGCATCGCCTTATAGAAATGTATTAAATCAATGCATATCTATGGGAAAAGTTCAGTGTCTCCATGCAGAGCATAGAGACACTGAATGTAAGTGTTGCACTCTGTGCTGCACTGATCCAGGAAGCACCTCTGGTGGCCATCTGAGGAGTGACCACTGGAGGGGTCACTGGGCTGTAATGTTAACAGTAACTTTTTGTTTAAAAGACAGTGTTTACATTAAAATACCTGCATGGACCAGGACGCGTGGGGGGGGCGAAGGATTGATGGCTGCCCCGCCTCCGGGGGTTCCTCAGAGGGATTCAGCCGGGGTCATGGATTGGGGGGGCAGGCGGAGCCGCTGGGGGGATATGGAGCACTCTGCGGTGGGACCCATGGTCCAGCGCTTCCCTTCCAGAGACGCACCCCACAGTGGGGTAACATACAGCAAACAAGCTCACACATTTCATAGGACACATCCCACTCTCAGGGGACAATAGGTATCTCTCTTCTTACGCACACCTTCTTTCTTACTTGCTTTTAATTCTCCCTTTCTACTGATGGTCATTCGGTTCATTATCTAATAAAACAAAAAAGTATTGGACACCATGGGCTCGTTTAAGGACCTTAAGGCACAACTAATGTAACTTGACATGTAACAACCGACATTTATATTGTACCTGAAAGAACATACTGTCATATCTTATGCAGCAACAACATGTTATTGCATTGTTAGCGATGTCAAACCATATCATATGCTGTTAATACAAAAATAAAGAATTTAAAAAACAAAAATGCCTGCATGGACTGACTATACTCACCAGAAAAACTACAATAAGCTGTAGTTGTTCTGGTGACTATACTGTCCATTTAAGCAGCTGCATTGTGGCTTACTAACAGTTCCCTTAGAATATATAAAACACCGTATTCCGATGAGCTATATCATTACATAGGCTTTTTCATTGTATCCCTGGAAAGAGCATATTACTGAGATTTGTCTTGGATTGTATAGCATGTGTACACTATACATGTATTTGGACAAGTAGACAGGAAGCATTAGTTTTTCCTGTGATGTATCTCAGTAAGGGGGTAGGCTCATACACTGAACAAAATTATAAGTGCAACACTTTTATTTTTGCCCCCATTTTTCATGAGCTGAACTCAAAGATCTAAGACTTTTTCTATGTACACAAAAGGCCTATTTCTCTCAAATATTGTTCACAAATCTGTCTAAACCTGTGTTAGTGAGCACTTCTCCTTTGCTGAGATAACCCATCCACCTCACAGGTGTGGCATATCAAGATGCTGATTAGACAGCATGATTATTGCAAAGGTGTGCCTTAGGCTGGCCAATAAAAGGCCACTCTAAAAGGTGCAGTTTTATCACACAGCAGAATGCCACAGATGTCGCAAGCTTTGAGGGAGCGTGCAATTGGCATGCTGACTGCAGTAATGTTTACCAGAGCTGTTGCCTGTGAATTGAATGTTCATTTCAAGGTGCTTCCAATATCCAGCAACTTCACACAGTCCACAAGCAACAACCTGATCAACTCTATGCGAAGGAGATGTGTTGCACTGCATGAGGCAAATGGTGGTCACACCATATACTGATTGGTTTTTGGATCCCCCAATACAGTAAGACTGCACATTGTAGAGTGGCCTCTTATTGTGGTCAGCCTAAGGCACACCTGTGCAATAATCATGCTGTCTAATCAGCATCTTGATATGCCACACCTGTGAGGTGGATGGATTATCTCAGCAAAGGAAAAGTGCTCACTAACACAGATCTAGACAGATTTGTGAACAATATTTGAGAGAAATAGGGCTTTTGTGTACATAGAAAATGTCTTAGATCTTTGAGTTCAGCTCATGAAAAATGGGGGCAAAACAAAAGTGTTTCGTTTATAATTTTGTTCAGTGTAGCTGTAGCAATATTTGCAAAGCCCTGTAAAAATAAGAAATGATGAGCTAGGAGATGGGGATAACATGCTTACATCTTTATCATTGGAATATTCCTTTACATTTGTGAGCCTGTGGTTTATGGTAAAGCTAGCTGTTCAATAGTCACTCTTCTTTTAAATATATAAAACGGTGTGGCTTTGCATATAGCAACTGGAATTATTAAAGCTATATACCCTACAATCCGAATAGAATTCAGTTAAGAAATGGCTTAAAAATGAGGTGTGTACATATTTAGGTACAAGTGTTCTGGTGCATCAATGCACTTTGACAGATGCCAACTTTGTATGTACACAAAGCACTGTGAGAGTAATCAAGCAATACATATGTAGAATTATCTCAGCTTCTATAAGCTAAAACAAATCACAAAGTTGTCATAGCAACATATTTTAAGGATCACTAAATAACCCTTAGGGTCCCCCCACCCTCAGGGCCCCCCTTCAGTTACTTACTTTAATCCAGCGCCGGGCTCCCTGGCGCTGGTGACCTCTCCTCCACCCCGGACATCGTGTCCCAAGTGGAGCGGAATGCGCAGGCGCGGCAAGACCCGCGCGCGCATTCAAACAGTCCGTAGGAAAACATTTCTCAATCGACGTTTCTCTTCCACTGAGAGCAGCCTGTGATCATGTGTACTAGTGGAGACCTCCATAAGGGTGATCCTTGAGGTGACTTGTTCCATGTCATTTTTAAACTAGGCCATGTTGTCCGCTGTGTTCGTACGAAGTTCTATGAACATGCTTTTTAGCAGGGCCGCTGTGACTGGTTCGCTTTCTGTAGGATCCCTGGCTTTCTGCCCTGGTAGTAGGTAAATGAAGCCCCCTCTCCCTGGTCGAAGGAGATGTCCTCTGAAGAGTAAGTGGAACCCTGTCTCCCAGCGTCATCTTGTCCCATGCAGACTTGTGCAAGCTCCGCAGCAGATCCCCTATATCTCGGCTGGTAAGACCTTTGTCAGCTTTTGTTGTTTCAGGGTTTTCCAGCCCAAATTACCTTCGGGTAACAAGTGGTTGGGTGGCCAAATTCCACCTGATAACCACTATTTCTGTGGTCAGCTGTGGTGATGCCTGTACATTTCTAATAGGGGTACCACATCCTAAGTGTCCTAAGATAAAAATGTGCAACTGCGAAGGAGCTCAAGGGATTGCACTGGGCACTGGTTGCACAGCTCCCTTCTGCCTCCTGTATTGAGCTGCGGTGCTTAGAGGGATCGGACAACATATACACAGAGTGATCCCAGCAGCTCACCACTGGACCCCAGTGGTGAGGCTCCATTTTAAACCTCCAAGCAAAGGTAAGAAAGGTAGGCTGGGAATACCTAATTGTAAGAAAATAAAATCATAAGCTATTATAACTTGTGTACATGTGTGTTTGTAGATTTGTGTATGTATGTTAATGTGTGTGGGAATCTGACTGTGTATCTATATTTGTGCAGTATTGGTTTTCATAATCATTTCAGCTTAAAAAAAATACAAATAAATACATATCGCCTCTCAGTCTGGAGAACAGATTTTTAGATTTTTTTTAATTCACTTTAAATGTGTAGGATTAGTTAGGGACATTAAAATTGTGTATTCAAGCTTTATTTTCCTTGCGTTTCTACAGAGTCTCTTAGGTATCTAATACTGTGTAGAGGGCCAATTCTCAAAAACTAAACACATTGCAAGTGTGACCTCTGTTCTCTAAGACTTTGGCAGACGTTGCATGTTACATAGTGAGAGGGGAATGCTGCAGCACCAGTGATACAGGCACGTTGTTATTAAAGATTTTTGGTAAATAACACTTCACGTAGGTCCCAAGATATAGTAACTGAAAAGCTGTCTAGAAGCCAGCATGGCCTTATGTTCACCTCCTTATTTTAAAGTAATATTGCTATATTTCTCTTCCCTGTTTTATCCATCACGCGTATTTGCCTATCTTTGTCTGCTTTGCAGTCTCTCCCAGTTCCACCCCCTTTATCAGTCTTCCCTAATGCAACCTTTCCCATCACATCAAATCTCCATGTTGTCCCTCTTTAACTATGTAGGTGTTGTTCCCATTTTTGTTGTCCCCCTTTAACTATGTAGGTGCACAATTAAACTTAAATTGCAATCTTGAGATTCAGTTACGGAAATGTGTGAAGGTGTGATACGGGTCTAATCATAAAAGTATCTTTCTTTTTCAATAGAAATAGCATGGATTGGAGATATACCTCGAACATGTATCATTTGATAATGGTGATGCTGGAACCTGAAATGAACAAAATGTATACTTAATACACGTATGGCTCATAGATATCAATATTTCAAGGCTATTTAAAATCTTTTGGTGATTGAGTCTCACTACTAATTACAAAGTATACCAATATCAGTGGGCCCTAGACTACATGTATACCTTTTAACAGTGTTATGCTTTATTGAAACACATCAGAGACAGCTTTATACAAAATAGAACAGCTGTTTGTGTCACAAAATATTTGACACAAAATAAGCTAATTCTCTAAAATATACTAGTTGTAATTTTATATTCAGAGATGATACAAAATAGAACAACTGTTTGTGTCAAAAAATACAAAATATCTGAATAAAAATGAGCAGATTCACTAAAATATACTAATTTTAATTTTGTATTCAGAGATGATATTTTATTTTGTGTATAAAATCAATTAGCTCTTTCATCATTCAATAATACTTTTTTTCTTCTGACAGACTTCACGGAAGAGCTGGCCACAAATCCCATATACAGGGCTGCCTCCAGAAGATGCTCCTGGATACCAAAGCACTTGTCCAGCTCCAGATGTCCACAGCGACTATATTTTCAGCCACCTGCCATTGCACTCACAGCAACAAATACGAGCACCTTTACCAATGATCCCAATTGGGGGAATCCAAATAATCCACTCGAATTCTGCAATTCAACCTAGTCCTCATACATCTACAACCACACCTTTGCACCCGAGAAGCTCAGATGAGAAAATAAATATATCTCCTGAGTCATGTGAGAGTTCCACATCGCACCTTGAGAAACATTCTTTTATTAGTATCCCTTCGATAGACACTTTATCTGGAGAAGCTACCACTCTCTTACCCTCACCAGGGCAAAGTCCTTCTGATGAAAGCTTCAAGCCCACAGAAAGGGAGCAGGAGGAAAATATACGTACTTGCACAAAAGCCATTGCTTGCCTGAGGATTGCCACGGAGGAAGGTCTACCGCCAAAGCGGGACCAACTGTCTCATCCTCCTGTGCCCAATCAGAAAACTTTAGGAAGTGCACAGCCCAGCATTAGGCACTTTAGTGGACTTGAGGCGGGCACGTCACTTGCATGCGCCTCATCCACCCATGTTGACTTGCACGGAGAAAAAGACAGTTTTGGTACATCACAATCTACATCGGCTCATTCCAAATTCTATAGTAAGAGCATGGACATGACAAAACTAGGCTTTCATGCACGGAAAGAAGAATCACAAGAAGTGAAAGACACATCGTCCGAAGCTAGCAAAATGCATTGATTTGAATGAGCATGTAGACTTTTTGATTGACTTTATTTTATTGTAGAAAAAAACAAAACATTCATAGCATGTCCAATGTACTTAAAAATAATTTCCCCTTGAAATTAATTTTATTATATTAAAATAAATTCTCTCTCTCTCTCTCTATATATATATATAGATATGTATGTATGTATATATATATATATATTTATATATATATATATATATATCAAATATACATACACACACTTACATACACAAAGTCATCACAAGCCTGACCAAAATGAAACTTTAAACTCTCGTATTGGGTCTGGTACTTTTAATTGTACAGATGTTTGTGCCTTTTTCTTTACTTTGCTTATATTCTTATAAGCATTTTAGCAGTACCCTGTATATATTTTAGAATTTGTGTATCTGCTTTGTAAGAAATGTATTTTCTTTCTTTTTTTTTGGACACTTGGGTCTAAATGTAAAGTAAAAACAAAAAAAAAAGCATCAATATATATGTGAGGTTGCACTAAAACATATTTTTATATGATTGAAACTTAAAACAGCTTTTATGTACAGCTCCAATCCTGTAATACTAATATTTATTTACTTTGTTTCATAAATTGTAAATTTTTTTCTTAATGTTGTGTATTATTTTTTTTCTATGTGAAGCATGGGGTTTACTGTTGCGTAATTAGAACAAAAAATGTATAGTGTAAGCAAGATATTTAAACTGAAAATATCATCTTATTATGCACTTATGCATCGGTTAAACAAAAAAAAAATAAGGGTGTATCAGTCAGTTCTTAACTCTTGTAATTTTTTGTCCCTTGTTTTCTGAATTTATTATAACTTAAGTGCTGATTGTGTTTTTAAAATGATAGTAATGTAAAGCATTAAAAGTACAAACATGTGCTTATTGTGAAGTTTTTTCTCCCCAGGCTGTGTGACACAGTTATTAATATATCACAAGTATTTGGTCTTATGTGAACATGTTGCTCTGTATACTCAGACCATACATATGGGAAAACATTCCACCCCATGAACATGTACAAGTGCATCACTGGTACAATTATATGTAATTTTCAGCTGGACACAACCGTCACCATATTAATTTACTGGAGTGTCTTTAAAAAAAAAAAAGAAAAAACTGGTGACAAAGCACATCAAACTGTATGGAACTGGGTCATCCATTGTGCTATTTAGTGGATTCAAATTCTGTGAAAAAAAAGTTTGTATATCGAATTACAAATTATAAAGGAGTGTTCTTTAAAAAAGAAATAAATATACAGTTACATGCAGAACTTTGTTTCAAATGTTTCAACTATTTTATTTGGTATGAAGTTAACAGGTAATCATTTTTCTGTGATACAGACTTTTACAAAATCTTGTTGATTTTTCTTTTTTTTTTTTGTGACAACGACCTAAATGGCAATGGAGAATTTTATTTGGAAGTGAACTAATGTATTAACAAGTGTAAATATCTGCTATCGAGTGGTGGGAGCTGGTGATGGTTAGTTTCTCATGAACTTTTCTATATGTGTACGAATTCCAGAGTAAGTAGCACTCACCACCTGTAGGAATTTCCAACGGTCCTGGTGCAATACACGATGTGGATGCATATATACCATCTTAAAGAAAAGAAAATGCTCATCGGGTTTTTAAACTATTGAAACTTTGTTTTTATTAGCCATTTTGTTATAAGTAGTTAAATGCATTTTTTATCTGTAATCGCAGGACATTTTTCCAAGCCACAGTTGAATGCTATACTTAAATTAATAAATAGTCATGTATGGAGGAAATCTCACCAAATTACCATCTGTAAAATGTCCAATCCAAATTACTGGCACCTAGAAAATAATTTGTGTATACTTAAAAAGAGCCCCCAACCAAGCCTTAAAATTAATTAAATTAAAAATAAACTATTTCATTTCAAGGGTGAAAAGTACCAAATATGTGTTCTCTAGCTGGTGCCTAATATCTTAAGTCCTCTGCTCCCGATGATTATTCATCAAGATTATTCATCAAGATCAGTTTGGCTTAATTCAAAACAGATGCTATTAGTAGAGTGCTTGATCTCATTCATGTTTCCATAAACCTAGACACCATGATGACACAATGATGATGCTCCTAGGCCTTGATGCCAAAAAAAAACATTTGGTAGGGTCAACTGGTCTTTTGTCTGGGAAGTATTGCAGCAATTTAAGATCCAAATGAAATTCTTATCAGCAGGGCAGGATTTACCCTCCTTGCTGGCCCAATGCACCCCCATATATATATATATATATATATATATATATATATAGACATAGCAGAAATGACCGCAGTCCAAGGACTTTATAGAGATTTTCAAATAAAATTTTGCTTTTATTCAATCCATTTAAAAAGTCAACGTTTCAGCTCCCACATGGAGCTTTTCATCAGGACAAAACATGTGTGTGGGAGCTGAAACGTTGACTTTTTAAATGGATTGAATAAAAGCTAAATTTTATTTGAAAATCTCTATAAAGTCCTTGGAGTGCGGTCATTTCTGCTATGTCTACATGATCCTTGCCAGACCAGCACCGGGCACCACAGGATTACACCAGGAGTGCAAGCCCTCGCTATTTATATATATATATATATATATACACACACATTCATATATGCAAATGTTTGGGTATTCAATTGGATGCATTAATGCAAAGGTGTGTGGAAGCTGCTTGTGGTGTTGCATTTGTGGGGGTAAGCTGCTTGTAGGATTGTATGGTTTTTGAATGGATGCTTTATGGAGTTGCATGTGTGGACTGGCTGCTTGTGTTGCATTTGTGAAGATGGGCTACAAGTGGTGCATTTTTGTTTCTGGGGTTTGTGTGTCTGTGTGGGGATGCTGCTTGTGGGGTCGTGTATGTGGGTTAAGCTGCTTGTAAAGCTGCGTGTGTGGAGGAGATTCTCCTTGTGTGTCTATATATGGGGCTGTTTGTGATGTAGTATGTGTGGGCATGTAAATATGGACTGTATGTGGATAGGGGCTATAGTGTGGGTCCTAAGATCAGGGATGCGCAATTCCTATCGCCCGATGCCTGGGACATGCAGTTCCGGGCTCCGGGAATTTCCTTTTAGCCCTGCTTCGGCCTAGCAGCAGAGTGACTTGTTGGGTCCTTGGTCCATGACCGAGGACCCGACATCTGGAGGGGTGCGGTGTGCCACAGGGTGCAATGCCCCTCTGTCTGCCCAGAGAGCCAGCCCCTCCAGTCTGCATCTCCGCCGGGTGTGAGCTGCCGGCTGCGCTGTATCTTGCAATCTCTTGCCAATCAGAGGGTTGCTGCAGGTTACCATGGCAACGCTCTGACTTCTGGATATCGAGAGCTTCAGCACAGTCTGCAGCTCACACCCGGTGGAGCTCCAGACTGGAGAGACAAACCACCTGACCACCAGGGAGCCAGGACACTGGACCACCAGGAAAAAAAAAGTATTTATAATACGCTCACTCTGTTACCAGTCTCCCACTCCCACACCCACTCCCTCACTCTGTCACCCCTTCCCTCAGTCACGGTCACTAGTCACCCCCGGCATCAGTCACCATTAACCCAAGTCCCTGGACAAGTAATTTTTAAAAAAATGTCAACACCCTGTAAGAGAGATTGTTTCTGTAGTGTGTGTGTTGGGGAGGATAGGGGCTATAGTGTTTTTTTTTTGGGGGGGGTGACGGACTTCCCGGTTACTTCTATCAATCGCTGCTTCATAGTACTTGCGAGCACCATAAGCACTTTACTTGAACACCATAACCACCATAAACCCCACGAACCGCTGCAGCTTGGTTGGGATCTCTGTCCTCTACCCACCCTGGACCCAACACCAGGATCCAGCTTCCCGTGGGTAGACCTCTCCTAGTCCAGAGAGAATAGCAGGAACAGCTCGTATAAGAGGTAGTAATTATACTCAGGGGAGTATTGTGATATAGCAATCCCCAGAGTGAATGTAGTTCTCCAATCCCCCAAACATGAGCCAAGACTTCATGAAGGGGCAAACAAATCCCTCTTTAATGGGAGCCACACTGGCCTTTTATGCAAGTCCCCAAGCAAGGTGACACCCATATGGACCTTGTTGGGAACAGGGACACAAACTGACAAACCAATAAGAACAGTGATTAAATGCATGACACTCCCACATTTAATACAATAAGCCTTCCCCTTTACTTAGGAGATAATTGTAGATTATGCTAGCTTTAGTGTACCTATAATCTTAATTTTATTAATGACAGGAGGCAAGTATTTGCTTAAGTCTCTCTTTACTAGAACTCAACAGCAGCACAGAAAAAACAACCAATCAGAAAAATGTTAGGTACTATAAAACTCCCCTCCCCATACATCATTTCCTCTTTCAAGCTGCGACAAAACAGAACAAAAGGCAGAAAATATAATGGGGAAGAAACGAAGTCCTAGATACAATGAATACAACAATGTCCACCATCCGAGAAGAACTGCCAAACCAGATAACATTGATGGACTGTAAACTGAAACGAGAGAAAAAACAGAATCGAACAGGTTAGTTAGCCAATGAAAAGTACTCTGAACAAACATGTAGGTACCCAATGTAGCAACAACCCTACTTATGAAAAAAGTGACAGTTAGCTGAGACAACAAGCAGAGTTGCATACGTACCTGGTGAACACAAACTATAAAAGGTATAGGAATGGGCGGGAAATACTCGCCTCCTGTCATTAATAAAATTAAGATTATAGGTACACTAAAGCTAGCATAATCTACAATTTTATAACATGACAGGAGGCTTCGTATTTGCTGTTTTAACGCTCAGCCTCTTTGTTTCGCTGGTACCTATTCCAGGAAATAACTAGAGCAATCCCAAATGGACCTACCAACTGTGAGAAGTGACAGTAGACGGATCGATGAAGATGCCAGCTGTTGATGTACCACAAAATACGGGAAACACTTTATCCGCTGTTAGATCCACTGTACTTGGGGTTGTGACCTGTTTCCTAGCAGACGTCCACGAACTGCAAAGCGGACCTATTAGCCCTTTTCCTGTAAGTGTAAAATAAGGTCATCCGTGGATTTAGGATCGTGAGAAAAACTGCCACCAGGTCTCGACCTTTGATGTGGAAGATGGCTTCTTCGATCGTGTCAGAATCACGAGGTGACGTGGTCTTGTAGATAAAATTCCAACCTCAGGTAACGCGTCTGAGTCTACCACCAGTTCCGTAACCAAACTGAATGGGGTCTTATCGTTCCCTCATGATCTACCCGGTGAGTGGCCTCGTCCGAGAATTAATCTATTATGCAGGCAAGAGTGTTTCCAGTACTCCAAATAGACTGCGTAACCCGCAACTGTGGTAGAACAAGGTACTCCCAAGGGACGTCTAATCAGAGTCCCAACATTCAACTTGTGTAGCGAAACGGTGATCGACTACTCTGGGGAACTGTGAATCCTGGATATACCCAAAAAGAGGGAAACGAAACTAGAGGTTGAGATTTCCATCCAAATATATCCTCATCAGGGAGTGATAATTGGTCCGGATCCAAGGGTAATAGGGCCCTGCATAGACGAAGAATTTCAACACCCTGTAAGAGTGTTCGAAGTGTAGGCCGGCTGGCGAAAAAACCGAATCGGCCCTAGTGAGCGGGCCTGGTGCAGGACTTCCGCCTGCGAGACTGGTGACTGAATAGAGAGAGAGTGAATAATCCAATCAATCGTCTGTATGATCCTGTTCCATGCCCGACCTGTCAAAGTTCATGGATAAAGTCATGGTCTGCATGCCACATTCATGATAGGGTATAATATAGTGAGACCTTTAGGACCCTGTATCCCCGACTGTCCAGGCACGTATCTCCAAGAGTAGGCCCATTCCAAGGGACCCAGGAATGTGAATTCGAGAACCGAAGTCAAGGTATCCCTATAGAGGAATACCTTAGCCTGGAGTCCCGCAAACTCCTAGCGTCCTCTAATACGTAGGTAGGACGTAAAGTCCCTTCACTAACGACAGATGACTTCAGCGAACAAATATAGCGAATGAACAAGAGCCTAGCTTCAACCGTCCGAAGCAGGGGCAGTCCAGTTTGAGAACGTCGGCAGTCATATCCGAGCCTGCTACAGATCCTGAACATTACTCCAGCTGTAGTTTGCGTCCCGACCTTGTGACGTCTGCGTAGGAGTCAGGGTACACATAGAGTCCAAGTAGGCATCCTTGACGGTAGTTGAATAGGTGGGTTAGTGGAAACCCAAAACCAAGACGGTTCCCTTGAGGGATTAGTGTATAGAAGGAGGACCCTCCATAACCGAATCATGATCTCCAGATGTTCTCCGAGGAGTAGAGGTAGTCCTGTCATCTATCCCAAGATTGTTAACGACCAGGGAACCCAAAGTCGACTGAAGATTCCGTTCTTTCCATGCGATCTATCTATTCTCACGTGGGATACCGTGGCACGGACCCAGTAGATCCATATAGGAGATGAAATAGAGAAATCCAGTCTAAACATGTATACCCTGCACGATCAGGTAGCCCTCTATAATGAAATCAGTAGCAAGGACGTTAGATTAAATGGAGGGATTCTCTCCCCTTACCCAGTCGCTTTGAAGCATCGTCTCCCCTGCATACCGGTGAGGTACAATACCCCTGTACAAGAGCTGAAGCATCAGTGGGTAAACCTGGTATGTGGTACGTACCTCCATATTGAATTGAATGTAGGAGGGATGCCCCTCTATGCAGACCTCGTTGTCCTGTACAGGTACAAGCCTGTGATTAACAAGGGGAAGGCACCATAGTGCGTTGAGTGTATGAGAGAGCCACACTCTCTAATAATGTAATCGAACTTTGTGTCAGCATCAGGCTGATAGCAGGAGCAGGCCGTACCCATTAATAACAAAATTTAGTGTCTACATCCGTGTCCGGCTCCTTCTATGAGAGTGGGCCACACTCAGAACATGTCTTTTGTATCAATCTCAGTATCGGACTGAGGTTGAGGGAGGGCCGCGCCCTCTAATAACAAAGCAGTGTCCAGTTCAGTATAAGAGAGGGGTTCGCTCTATACTCGTGTAAATAAATATCAGTCTCGAGCCGAGGTGATGGAGGGCCGCACCCTCTTGCAATCTAAACTAGAGTCCATATCAGACTCAGGTTGACCAAATGCGGGGGATCACCCTTTAATAATATCAGCGTAGGACTGAGATCCTGAGGAGGGTCCCTCTCTGACCACGAGACCTCTCTCTGAATCACTCACCTGGGAGGTGGGATCAACTGGGAATAAACCAGGCCGATGGTAGACGGAGTAGTATACAACCTCGGGCCGTGAATAATAGAAAGGGATGTTGAGAGAAAGTAACCTCTGGAAAAAAAGATAGGATCTACCAACGGACCGTGCGCGGGATCCAGGATGACCGTCGGTAGCCTGAGGAAAGCTGGAGACGTTCTCCGCGATCCATGAGAGCCCGGGAGGTCGGAGGAGGTCAAGTCAGGCCTCTCGACATCCCAGGTGGGAGGCAACGGAAGATATGAAAGAAAGAAAAGGACAGAACTAAGATAAACATCAGATAGAGTAAAAATACGTATCTCAGAGGGATGGAAATATAACGGACAGGAAAGGCAAAGTATAGGGAAAACCAGCAGAAAAAGAACTAGCGTGACCTAGATATACCAAGATATAAAATACATAGGACTAGCATGTAAGGGAGTGATAGTTAAATGCCAATGATATCCGGTCTTCTGACGAGGGTGTCCGAGCACTGGACACTGTACGTGTTTCCTTGCGAACTCACCCAGAAGATATGCCTTTGCTTAGATGGTGAAACCGTGGCTGTCTGCTCAGGGCGTTTCGCAGGGCCTTGCCCCTCAGGGCACAAGGTTCAGGGCCTTCACCCTTCCCATAAGACCTAGGTGTATGCGCCTGGTCTTGTCTGATGAGTCAGAGCCTGACTCTACTTGTGCGCCCGGAGTCCCTCCATACCTCTATATTGAGGTAGTAAAAACATCAGCTTGTGACATAGCTTTTCCAACAGAGGCGGCCTCAGCCACATATATCATAGTCTCTAGGTTCTCCCGGGTTGGGTGTCCATAGCGGATGAATACTGTAGGGGTAGAAATGACGGATGAATACTGTAGGAGTAGAAATGACCGGTGTCACCCCATGTAGTGTGGTAGCTCTGCTACAGGGACACGCACACCTCAGTGTCCATAGTGAGTAGGGGGCTCCCCCGTAATATTCCCCTAGGCCTGCGGCCAGAGGGGGTTTGGGCCCAGGTAGAAACCTGCCTTTCGAAGGGGCACAGACAGAGCAGGCCAATCAAGAGGGCACAGACAGAGCAGGCCAATCAAAGGGGCACAGACGGAGCAGGCCAATTACAGTTGGTGTATAAGTTGGTAGTAAGGGACCCCTGTGTTTGGGCATAGGCCCATAAATATCCGTAAATCCTCAGTACAACATGTGACACAAGACCCCAAGACACCAACTCTTTTAGACAGTGTAACACTGCGTGCCTAAACCTTAACAGGAACTGGCAGTCCCTTAATGCCTAGCAGGCAAAAGGTAGTATTCCAGCTGTAGGGCATAGAAGCTGTCGTTGTTCCAGTGATAATAGTGTCCCTTTAAATCTATAGACACTGAGTGGATCATTCTTTAAACAGAGCAAGACAGTCCTGCATTGAGATTTAATCTGTACTATACCTCCTCATCATTCCACAAGAAGGGTAGTGCACAAATGGATATTGCAAGAATGGAAGCCAGTGGTGACAACTTAAAGTATCTCCTTTATTGAACTTGGAAATTACAACTTACCAAACTCTACTAGAAACAGAACTAGAGTCTATAATAATCCCAGCAATACAGAAAGAACTCCCAAGGACCCCCATAAAAAACACCACAATACATAAGTAAATATCCCCAAAGGAAAACAGGGTTAGCATAAAGTGTGCAAAATAATCAGTAATCCTAATATGGAATAAATATACAACAATAAATCATAATCAAGCCCAAAAGCAGGAGGCAGTGGTACTCTGACCTGTACTGATGCGGAGCAGCAAAGAAAGAGGAAATGATGTATGGGGAGGGGAGTTTTATAGTACCTAACTTTTTTCTGATTGGTTGTTTTTCTGTGCTGCTGTGGAGTTCTGGTAAAGAGAGACTTAAGCAAATACGAAGCCTCCTGTCATGTTATAAAATTGAGCCAAGCACTATACTAAACTCAATTATCTCCACACAAAAAACACACATTTCTAAAAAGTTCAAAAAGTACCCCAAAACACATAATATCCCCACAAATGTTACATTAAATGAACCCCTGATAGCTCTGATTTGGGATGGATCATTAAAGACACTTACATGCTGCCAAACTTAATTATACATCCCTTCTCTGTTATAAAAACTACGGGCAGAGAAGAAGCTTATTGCACGTGTGGTGTGATTGGCAAACCCATCACTCCTAAAACAATCTTGGCATTATGGATAGGTTACTACCAAGAAAGCAAACTAAAAGTTTCCTTGTTATGTCTTTGCTGCAATATCTGCAGATTGTATTACTATGCACTGGAAATCATTCTAAGAATCCTGAATAAGGTTTGCGTTGTTTATGATAGATTGGGTATGACTGCCAAGCGTCTTGACATCCTAAAAGCTCACAGCAACATATGGCACCCCTGGCAGGTCTACATAGCTTCTTAGACCACAACCTAGATGGCATGCTTGTAGATGAAGACTTGACTCTGTATATTACTCTGGCTCAGTCAGCAAACTCTCACATTTTCAATTTTTTTTATACCATACTGTCTTCACATACCCATCCTTTCTTACTTTTCATTATTTTTAAATCTTTTATCAACGTTTCTGTGTCTATTTTTAATCTAAGAACCATATACTTTTTGTTTGTTGGATTTTTATTATTGTTACATCCCTATTTGTTAAATCTACTTTAGTGCTTGCTTAGTTTAAATGTTTCCCTTTTATCCAACTTTTTATACTTATTAAAAGTTTTACTTTACCACAATAGTGATTCTGGAAATGGACTGAATATCACAAAAAGAAAAGTCAATGAGTTTACAGAACACATTCAGTAGGTGACCTGAACTTATCTCTCGATGAGTGTTTAATTTATATTGTAAATAGTTTTTATGATGTTTTTGTCTTTAAGATGCCATGTCTAACTTTTTCTTGTAATAAAAATCTTTCTAAAAAAAATCAAATAGAGCTGGAAGAATAATAATATATATGAAATTATTTTATACAAAAGGATAGAGCTGAAAAAAGTTTGTTTAAATCAGCCACATAATACAGCAATAGGAGTTACTATACTATATGCCTGCTTTTTGTAACTCCTATTGATGGATCGGGAGGTTGATTTAAATGGATTTTCCCTGACGGCTCATGCAGAGTCAGCACTTTTGAAGTGCTGGCCTTGCTGTGTGCCTTCACAGGCCAGTGGGGAGGCACTTCAATGCAGGAGTGTGAGGGGAGAGGAGGACTGGAAGGCTGAATGTTCCTACCATGAGCTGGGCAATTTAGAGTGTTACCGTTGGTCACCATGGCAATGCTCCAAGGAGCTTGCGTGAGGAGTGCACATTGCCTGCAGTTGAAGTAGCTGCAGGTTAGAGTTAATCAGCCCCACTGGACCACCCACTTGAGAAAACTAAAAAGAAAGAGGGAGAAGGGCACTCAAGGTTTTTTGTTTTTTTTTTAGAAAAACACACACACTGCATCTCTCACACACATTACACCCCTCTCACACACACTGCACCTCTGCACAACTGAACCCCTCACACACAGCACCTGTCACACACAATGCATCCCCTATAAACACTTTGGATTCCTTACATACACACTAGATCACCTGTATGCAACAGCCCCAACACACAATACATCACCTATACACACACACTACAGCCCCTATGCACTTATTTGCTGCATTCCCTGTACACACACTATGCCCCCAATACTACAGCACCTATATGCATGCACTGTACAGCCTCTAGCCACATACATTACAGTCCTTAACAACACCTATTGCACCACAAACACAACACAACTGAAACCGATCTATTTACACAAAACACAACACTGCAATCAAAACAATGATATAGACCACCCAGGTGCAGTGAGTGTGAAATCAATAAAAAGGTAATTACCCCCTTTTTTGGATGTACGGTATAACAAAAGGATTCCTCTCAATGCATGTGCATTCAGCCAAGAGGAGGAGAGGAGGCGGAGAGGAGGAGGAGAGCTCCCCGCCCGGCGCTGGAGAAAGAGGTAAGTTTAACCCCTTCCTCACCCCAGAGCGCGGTGGGAGGGGGACCCTGAGGGTGGGGGCACATAAAACGAGTATGTATTCCTGGCACCATAGTGGTCCTTTAATATCAACAGTAGGTTATAAATAATGGTTCCTAGCCGTAAAGACCCAGATCGGACAAAACACCCCAGTCACCAAATTATTAAAAACAAAGTAATTGCATTGGCAAAAAAACGCTCAACGCGCATTTCGGCATGGATAACCGCCTTTGTCAAGAGCTTACTGGCATCTGGATCCTATCTGATTATAAGGGGAGGTTGGTGTACTCCCTCATTTCTATTTCATCCAGTCAGTGCCTTCGGGAGTAAGGAGGGCAGACTTGTGAAAGTGTCCACTCCTCTGTTTTTCAGTAGCTAATCCCCAAAGAGCTTGGGTGGGATTGCTCTGTCAATCATCCCCATAGGCAGATACTATGATACCCCTCATTCCAATGAATAACCCAGCTTCAGATCCGATCAGCAGATACTCTCTATATACATTCTGAGAGGGGATGTCCTCTTAACTGCACATATAGGCTTTGGGTCTATTTTCTCTGTCTATATCCAACTCAGCAACCCTTGGCTTAATCTATATTACCTAGATAAACCTCTTTAGTACTCTGAATGTGCTTTACTCTATATACGTTTTGAAATTGGAGATCAGGTAGCACTAGGAACAGGTACTGGTGATATCTTATTATAGCCAAATACTAGTAGCCTTATATCTGCTTCTACCTTTACCTTGTACATCTAAAGAACAACTTTGTCTAAATCTCGCATATTGATAAGTATATCTTAGTAGACACAAATTGAGAAAGAGTTAGCAACTATCTTTGATTTTCCCACATACCT